TTTTAATTTTATTTTTTTTAATTATAAAAAAATAAATCTAAATAATTTATTATTAAAATATATTTATATAAATTAAATATTAATAATATTATATATAATATAATAATACATAATTAATAATAATATAATAAAATAATAATATAAATCATATAATAATATTATTAATTTATATTTCCAATATCTAATATTAATTTCATCCTAATATAATATAATTCAATATATAATTAAATTTTTTCAGAATTATTTCGATTTAAATTTAATATTTTATTATTTCCCCATAGAAAATTTATTCAATCCAATATATTTATCAATATTTTATTTTATTAATATATATATTTTTTTTCCCTCAATTATAAGAACCACATCTCAATAGATATTACCTCGCGTCAACCAAATATAAGAGAAAAAAATAAAAATAGATATCGAATAAATATCAGAAAAAATATAAAAAATAATAACATATATATCCAAAAATATATAAATATAAATATCATATAAAACATTAAATAAATTATTTATAAATATATATATATATACCAAATAAATATCAAATAACATATCAAAATAAATACATGATCTTATTTCCAGACGGTATATCAGAAATTCTACCAACATAATATTTCTGGGTGGGGATCCCTTGAAAAACATATTTTTTTGTGTGCGTTGTTGCTTGAAGCTGGGAAGGGCTTGAGAACAGCTGAAAAGAGAAGAAGAGACAAGAAGCGCTGAGAAGAGCTGAGAATAGGAGAGAATAAATGAGAAGAGCTGCAAAGAGCATAAGAACATTAAAAGCAGCTGAGAAGAGTTGAGAAGAATTGAGATGAGAAGGATATTTCAAGTAAAAGGAGCCAAGAACAAGAAATGTCAAGAGTTTGTTTCTGCAACGCGCACAAACGTCTTGTAATCCTATAAGGGTTTTCATTTTTGATTTCCCGGCTTGCTCGGAGTACTACTTGTATTATCTTGTATTCAAATAATATCTTATATTTACATCCTGAATTTTGATTCAAATGTATTATGTAATGAAAGGATGTCCTGAAAGGATGTCCTGAAAACATATATATAAAAAACACTTACTCTGATGATCTGAAAACCACTTTCAATAAATAGGATTGGGCGCCACTTTTGATTTCATAAGCTTTGTAAACGATGTCCGGGGCCAAAATTTGCCTCACCAGCTCCACTCTGAAACGTCAAAGCCTCATAATTCTGAGTGTTCAAGTAGGTCGGACACATATGTGTGTAAGAGTCCAGTTGTTTTATGTTGTCTTACTGCACAAAGACCAACAAAAAATGCAGGCAGTGGCCTCCGGACTTAGGTGCCGAACACCCTGCCAGAATCACGTCTGCAAGGCTATGCAAGGCTTCAAGCACCGCGCTGGGCAATCCTGCCTCCTGCAAACGCGTTTGCAGGTGCTCCTCCTCAGGAATCTCCAGGCCAGGGTCGTCTGACCTTAATGCAGTCAACCAGCTGACCCGTCTTCTGAGTTCCGCAGCTGGTGGAAACTTGTTACATCTTGTAACAACAAAAAATCGAAAAACAACATAGATATACACGGACCATGAATCATTGAGGAGCTGACGGTACTGTCCAGTCTTCCTATCAGAATGTACCCAAACAATGTCAAATGTCTTGTTTTCACAAGGTGCAAACCCAGTATATAAAATTATATATATATATATTTGTTTTCAAAAGTATTGACTGCGCTCACGTGTCATATCTTTCATCAGCACAGGGAACTGTGGCCTCCATCTGGTAGTCTGGAGCATGTGCACCATTGCTCGGCGCTGAAGCTTGTGACTCTGGATCCGCGTTGACCTTGATCAAGTTCGCTGGGTCAGATTCTGTGAAAGTCTTACACCTAGAATGTCGTAGAACCAACGCTGCAGAGGTCTGGCGCAGACCCTCTGTTCGCAGCTCTTGCAAGATCATGTTGTCATCACTGCTGCAGCATCACATATGTCATATCATACAAATACAAATCTGTGCCGGCAGGCGGCGCCACAAAGCCAACTGCACAACGCGATAAACAGTGGAATGTGAACGCAGCTAGTGTTATATGGCATCAATATGTTTCTTCGATAAAACCTGGATATGTCGGATGATATAGCGATATTCAATTTTTGAAATGGATGCGTTTCGTGTCCTGGGTGGGTGTCAGCAGCGCGGAAAGCAGTTCAATGTTATTGAAGATGAGACTGCGCTGACTTTAACCCACGCCAAAGAGAAAGGCTTTTCTGTTCTATGTGTAACCTATGTGTGGCCCATAGATGTCTACAGGTTCCTTGGGGAAAACGCAAAAAAGGATACGCTCAGATCACTTACTTGATTGAATCTTCAACAATCCCTGAGCTGAACACAAATATCTCTTCCAAAAGATCGTCGCTCATGGCCTTGGGTGGGCCAGAACTCAAATTCATGTGCCAGATCTGACACCAGGGTGAGTGCAACTTGGGAAAAGTACACTCTTGGTTGACAAGCATGCTCTAGTACATGTACGTACATACACGCGCAGGAAACATGGACCCAAACAGCTGCGATCATAGCCACCACTTCGTCGTGGCCTGCCTGTCAAGGTGCGGAACACTGAGCTTGACGCGTGAAGGGTGAAGTCAACTTTTCCCCAAACAGTGTAGCCGCACTTGGGGTTCTTACGGTAATTTGATGACCCTTGCAGCACAAAAGTTCCGTCAGATTCCGGATGTCTCGCGCAGAATGGTGTCCTAGGGGGGCCCTTGCACAACCGTCTCGTCACTTTGTGATTGTCCGATCGCTCTCGTTGTGGCCCTGTGCGAATTTTGAATTTTTTCGTGGCCCTCTCTCGTGACTTGGGCGTGTCGGATCGCTCTCATTGCGGCACAATGCGAATTTTTAGATCGCTCGTGCAACCCTCTCGTCACTTTGGGCCTGTCAGATCGCTCTCGTTGTGGGCCGGCGCCCATTGTGATAATCAAGGAGATCTTGTGCAGAGATCTTGGTGAGTAAGTCTTTTATAGAGAGCTTTCGCAGTGATCTTTCCAGGGAGACCTCTTACAGACAGAGACATTGCATAGAGATCTGTTGCAAACATCTTGTCAAGAGGTCTCTTACATAGATCTTGTCAAGAGGATTCAAGAGGTCTCTTACATAGATCTTGCCAAGAGAGCTCTTATAGAGAGCTTGTGCAGAGATCTCTCCAAGAGATCTGGTCAAGAGACCTCTTATAGGGAGCTCCTACAGAGATCTTGCCAAGAAACATCTTTTAGAGATCTTGTACGGAGACCTTGCATAGAGATCTGTTGCAGAGATGTTGCCGGGAGATGCTTTTTAGAGAGCTTATGCAGGGATCTTGGCAAAACACCTCTTGTAAAGATCTTGCGCAAGAGACCTGGTGAAGAGAACAGAGATCTTGCTTTGAGATTCTTTACAGAAATCTTCTGTGCATATCTCTTCTAGACACCTTGTACAAACAGCCTTACAAAGGGATCTTGCACAGCAGCTTCATGCAGCTTCTACACAGAACCTGTCAACGAGATCTTGCACACGATCTTCTACAGAATTCTTCACAAAGGGAACTTGCAGAATCTAACCTGGTATCCCAGTATTTCTTCATGTTCCTTGCAACACTGCTTGGGGTATCTTGCCGGGATAATGAGTCGAGGTCATACTGAGTGAAATTGGTCAACATAGGCCGTAGGCACTCATGCTTATCTGAACAAAGAGCTGCCAAATGCTGCCAGCAAACCCCGAGCTTTGCTGGATTCCCGGATGCCTCATTGGCGTAGTAGGTGGCAGAGTGCCCCTCCAAATCCATGGCTTCCACCGACATGCCAGCCTCGCACGGCTCTTTGCCAGCCATAGAATGATTCAAGGGCAAGGGGTGTGGCTAGACAGTAGCTCAGGTTTCAAATTTATCTTGGATCTCATTGGATTCTGTAGTGCTGCTGTTACAATCCCAAAATATGTAATTCCTGTGATTTTTTGACATGATTTTTTGACATCTTCCCCTTCACACACCACCGTCAAAAGTGCAGCCTTCAGCAGCAAGTCCACAACCTCCTTTTGACCAGCCTGCAATGGGGTAGGGCAAGGCCCTAACAACCTACATCAACCTACACAACTAATGTCATGGACAAAGCACCCCGCTAGCATGCGGTAGAAGTGACATGTTCCCATCAACAGCTTGCTGAAATGAAAGCGCTGGTAATTGCTGGTGCACATGGTCTGGAAACACTTGAGGTGGAGTCAACGTGCCAGCATGTGCCAGCCATTGCATAACGATCTAAGTAGGACAGAGCCCCGAGGTGCCAAGGACGAAGGCAGCCTGTGCGGCATAGTGCAAGGCTGTCTTGCAGCCACGGTCCTGGCACAAACGTCTCAATGCAGCACTTGCATTGTGAAAACTGCTGGCCAATTCCAGCAATCTAAAGTTGGATTCTCAGTGATCTCACTGAAAAACTCATGCAATCAATTTGTTGCGCCCTTCCATACTGATCATACTTGTTGCAAGTGAAGTGGGGAGCAGTCCATGTCAAGAAGCACCATTCCGCGACTTCCTTTCAATAGGAGCCTGGATGAGAATAGAGCATGGGCCGGGACTCAAAAGAGACATATGAAAATCAACCCAGCTTTCAAGAGTTGCAAAGGCTGTTCAAAGATTACCACATCAGTGCAGCGGCATCTGCACAGCACCTAGAGGTGGGTGCTATCTGATGCTATCTGCATCTGCCACCAAAAAATATCAAAAAATGCACAACATTTTGGTAGCATCATGTAGCATCGACCCTGAATCCCTCTTGGGATCTGACGTCATGAAGTCACAGTTGCCTACCTTCGCGCACTCCAGGAACGGTGTCATTCCGGCCTTGGTTGATAGGTTTAATCACAAAGGACCAAGGCCCCAAGGCACAAGAAGCAGCTTTTATTGATTTGGGATAAGTTCCACTAAACATGGATAGGGTATCATGGAAAATTGGGTACCCCTAAAATTCACTTTTTCATATTTTTTGATCATTTTCACCATGAAAGTGGCCATACCTGAGGCTATTACAGAATCAGGCTGAAATGGATCTGCCTGGAGAGCGTTGGGCCCATGGGTGCAAAAATTGGTCAAACATGGGCGTGGCAAAAAAGGATGGAACAAGCTATATCGATCTCTGGGATTGGGCACCAAGGTGCCCATATGTGCCCATAAGAAATGGATCCACAAAGTCCAAGGGGTTGACAAATTTGTTCCATTTCCACTGGCACCTGGGCTTCCATGAGCAGCTCAAAGACCTGCAAGGCGGAGATGCTCAGCGCAGGCATATACTGAGCCCTGCGGACATGCCACAATCCATGCCAGCCTCTGAGGTAGCATCCTACCAATGGCTGCGCATCTGAAATTGGCTGGAACACAGTCTAACTTGCAAATAGAGTAAGAATGAGTGTAAGAATGAGTAAGACCTTTCCAAGGATTACCCTACTGTGACACATATCCACATGGCAAACTTCACGGCGCGCATGTCCTCTCTTTGGCAGAGCATTGACAGTGCTGTCGGCCCTGTGGATGATCCGTTTAAGAATTGCCTGTAGCGAAGGTGCGAAACCATAGGTGCCTAGCAGATTTAGCAACCTTGTGAACGATATAATTTGATTGATGTCATGTCAGTCATGTCAGTCATGTCATGCAACTCCAAAGTCAGATTGCAGGTGACCGGGTGCTGCAAGCTTCAGCAGTCTTTAACTCAGATTTGGTTCATTTGAATTGGCGAAGAAAGTTGCGGCAAGAGACGTGAAACATATGAACAGTGACACAATGAATTGACCACACAGCTTCCAGCAACATTAGAAAGTATGTCTCATTTGTCGTGACAAATCCAAACTTCATCGTCTGGCACGAGGCCTTCGCTTCTGCTCAAAGAGCTCATCCTGTAGCTTCTGCTCAAATTCGTGCCTCAACAGCGACATGTCAGACCTGGGGGCCTGACAACTTCAATCATGATCAATGCCAATGTACAACTCCAAACTTACCATAGCAATTTCTATACTGATCTATGGTAAAGATAGAACGGAATCAAAACACAAAGAAGCGATACAGTAGCATCCGATAGCATGAGACGGCGCCTTTCGAACAGCTTTTGCCCTGCCGCACTCGACAAAGGCAAATGCATGCTGTGAAAATATCGTGACAGGATTTGAAGAGGAAAAAGGCTGATTTGCATTGATTTGCGGTGCCTGTTGAACCACAAAGGACATCAAAGGACATGTGTTGCCCGCACCTGCCTTCTTCTAGAAGCTTCTCTGCTGCATTGTAGGCCCCAGCCCGCAACGCAACCTGGCTCTGCGATGAATGGCTTCTGCTCTAGAAACGGCGAAGCGTCCAACAGCCCTCGCTAATCCCCTGACCTGAAGCAGGCTGAGGCCGTCGGCCGTGCTCAGCAGCACGCTGGCAAGGGACTCCTGCAAATCATGCGGTGACTCTGCATTTCTCTCCGCGAATTGGATGTTCTTTTTTCATCTTTTTTCCCGGATTGAGCATGGACTGAGATATATTTGATTCCCTCATTGTATAGATGTGAAGCGCGGACAGGCGCAAACAAAGTATATAAACACAAGTGTCAGGAAAGCATGAAACATGCATTTTGAGATCTGGAGTTGCTTCCGTTCTCAAACTCCAGTGCATATTTTGATGATTAGACTCGAATCATGCCTTGGTACGTTGAAATGCAGAAACCCTTGTCCTCGTCGGCCTCGTCGAGTGTTTCTCCCAGGGCCTGTTGTCAAAATCCAACGGGTTTTCTCGTTGGCACTAGCTAAGTCTGGTGAGAATCTGTGGGTGACTTGATGCTCCAACAGTCCAACATCTCATTAAAATATTTAAGATTCATTAAGTGATTTCTGCCACAGCACCCAAAGCAGGGCATGATCATAGCATTGCCCAGCAACTTCTGCCTGGGCATTGTTTGCCTTGGCCGCTGCGACTGCATCAGCTGCCTTCTGCGGTACTTTCTCTGACACAGAAGTCAGGTCGCCTTAGCACTGCGGTCAGTGCCGTTGCAGGTGGGGGTGTCTCGGTTCCAAGGCTGGCGAGATACAGGACAAATATGGACAAATGGTTTTGTGAACCACTCCTATACTCAGTGTCTTGAGTATTCTTGAATCATGTCCAAGCATTTGTGGCGGAACTTCCTTTTTCATCTTTTTCTTCTCGCTCAAACGAGGACGCTTTCCGCTGCTGCCCATGTCTTCTTTAGCTCTCAGATTCTCGTCTTGGGTTTGCCTTCTGGCGTCTGGCGTTCCGACCTCCGCGCAACGTTCTTTCCTTGCGGGTTCTTCCCCAGAGCGTGGTCCGGCACCATACACTCTTTGTTCACATCAGCGATCTTCTGTCTCCGTAGACATCCGCATGCGTCTGTAGGTCCACCGGTCCAAATCTCCATCCAGGTTTGAAAGGTCAACCATCCGATCCCCTCACTTGATGCACTCTTGATCTTCTTCAAGCACCTTCAGCAGGGCACATATGACCTACTAGAAAACCGCATCTGATCTATCTGCATGTGTGTTTAAACTTGTGCATATACCGTGTATATATATATATACATACATTATAATACATTATACATCTATTAGATTCGATCAAATACGAGTAGAAAGGGCATCATCAAACACAAACAACATCGTTTAACAGACTCCTTTGCCGCTTGTTACTGATGACCTTAGACGGTGCATCAACTCTTGGCTCAGCTTTTCCGCGCCTCCTCAAAGCGCTTCTTGCTGATAAACATCGCCTTCAGGCGTCCGAGCGACGGTCCAACATGGTCCAACAGCATGGGAACCAAGGCGAATTCTGGCCCTCATGCTGGACACCCTTTGAAGCCTAAGGACTAAGGATGTATCAGATCAAAAGAGATTACATGAGATATCTCATATTACATACATTACCTTGCCTGCATTCCATTGCTTTGCCAGTACTGTGGGCCCATCTACCCATTGGAAAGGGCAACCCTGCCTCCAAGTGAGCTTTCAAATTCGCTCGTCGTTTAGGGTGCTCGTCTGCCTTGCTATCTGCGGTAAAACCTGGGATGCATAGGTCCATGTGGAAAGCGAAAGCATATTGGCGGCGAAATCCACAGGCCTTGTCTGTCAGCCTAATCTGTAGACATGTGTCATAATTGTGATAATAAATAAATATTAATAATGTGCCCATACTTCATGGAATCAAACAGCGCATCTCGCGCAGTCAAGAAGCTGATGCATACTCCATCTGGATCACCAATGTTAATGTTGCAAGGTTGGTTGGCCTGTCCAACGGCGAGACTTTCAACCTTGCTCTGAATTTCTGCTAGAAGACGTTTGCTCGCTGCCCTCGTGATGTGTCATGGAAACTCCCTAGTCTTTGGTGCAAACACCGTTGTGCTAGCACCAGCAGAATCAAACAGTGTGACCATGTAAGGAAAGAATCAAGTATTGCAATATGCAAGCTTTCATTGGGATGATCATGGCAGGCATCAAAGAGTTCGTGATGGAAGGGATGGGTCGCATCGCTACAGCACTTTTCCCACCATTTTCCCACCATGTCCATACCATGTCACACCTGAGTAGTTGGCTGCTTTGGGTGTTTTGCAGTCTTGGTCCACCTGGGGCAACAGGCAACCACACCATAGATCTCCAGTTCTTCGCGGGCCAAATGTTCCGTGCCCGAGCGGCATTGTTCTGTCTGGAAGCGTTCTCGGGGGTCAAAGCAATCCTCGGCGGAGCTGAAAATTCGATGGAACAACTCTTCGTTCTTCCGATATTCAAAGGGTGTAGAATAGTTTTTTTTTTGCCTCAGGTTTTAGTTTTTTTTGGTTTTCTTTCCTGGCACCATTTGCCTTGTATTTGCAACAGTTTGGAACTAGAACCTGTCATTTTTCATGGTATTTGCCACATTTTGGCACTTCAACCTCTCATTTGCATGGTATTTGCTATTTACATTTTGGTACTTCAAACGTTCAGGTGGGTTTCTTGAGGGTTCTTTAGGGTTTCATTTAGGGTTTCATTTAGGGCTTCATTTAGGCTTTCGTTTAGGGTTTCATTTGAGGTTTCATTTGGGGTTTCTTTAGAGTTTCATTTGCAGTTTCATATAAGGTTTCTTTAGGTTTAGGTTTCTCTAGAGTTTCGTTTTGGGTTTCTTTACGGTTTCATGTAGGATTTCTTATCGGGATTTCTTATCAGGATTTCTAAACCTTCAAATGGGTTTCTTCTGGGGATCTTTTGGGGTTTCATTTAGGGTTTCTGTTAAGGTGTCATTTAGTTTTTTTCTCTCAGAGTGTCATTTAGTTTTTTTTTTTGGGGGATGTCATTTAGGGTGGCATTTAAAGTTTTTTTAGGGTTTCTTTAGGGTTAGTTAATTTATGGTTTCTTTAGAGTTTATTTAGGGTTTCATGTAGGGTTTCTTATTAGTCAGGATTTATTTATATAATTTTATATAGGGTTTCTTTGGGTTTCACCCAGGGTCTCTCTAGGGTTTCATTTAGGATATAAACAGGAAAGAATAAAGCAAAAGAACATGAACAACAAAGAGACAGTAAAGACAGGAAGCAAATAAGCAGAGGAGCAGGAAGTAGAGCAGCAAGAACACATGACTGAAGAAAAGAAAGAGTAGAATAGTAGAAGTAGAAAGGCACAGAAGCATAAAAGCAAAGAAGCAGGGAAAACAGAGAAGCAGAAAAGCAAAGAAGCAGGGACAGCAAAAAGCAGAACAGCAGAGAAGCAAACACGCAGGAAAAGCAGAGAAGCAGGGAAAGCAAAAAGCAGAGAAGCAGAAAAGCAGGAAAAGCAGAGAAGCAATGAAAGCAGAGAAGCAGAAAAGCAGGAAAAGCAAAGAAGCAATGAAAGCAGAGAAGCAGGAAAAGAAGAGAAGCAATGAAAACAGAGAAGTAGAAAAGCAAAGAAGCAATGAAAGCGGAGAAGCAGAAAAGCAGAGAAGCAGAAAAGCTGAGAAGCAGAAAATGAGAGAAGCAGGAAAGCAGGAAAGCAGGAAAGCATAGAACCAGGATGAACCAGGAACCCCCAAAAAATCCGAAACCTGCCACAAAAAAAACAAATAGCCCTCCATATTCAAACAGATTCAAACGGTCCAAATCGGTGGGCTCACTTTCTACCAGTGTGTGAATGAAGAAGTCCGGCAAGCAGAACAAAATATACAAGACAACATAAGAAAAGCACAAACATCATCAAACATCATCAAACATCTAGTTTATTTATACGTATGAGAATGCCTTGGATTTGGCTGATAAGGCTGGGGTCCATGTACTCTGGTGGCTGAAGCGGGCGATCGGCCAGCTCGTCCATGAGGGCAGTGAAGGCATCGGGCTGATGGCCGTGAAAATCAAATTGCAACAGGGGCGCAGCTTTGGAGATCAACTGCCTGGCAAACTTGGCAAACTTGTCATTCAAATGATTCAAAGTCAAAGCCATTCAAACCCTACTAGCCTGAGCACCCAAGGAGGACAAGGTGACAACTCATGTCAAACACACGATACCCGAACAAGCATCTGAATTGGTCTGAATTGGTACGGAGGTAGAGAGGTAGAGAAATCACATTGTACGATAATGAGCAATGAATTGCCACCAATTGCCACACTACAGTAAGAGTCCAAGGCACTGCTTGCGGTAGAGCTCATGAATGTTCACCCGCAACAATTTTGGCACCAACTTCTTCGCCCAATCAGAGATTCGCTGCGTCTTCGGATCGAAAGGGAGTTCAACGCTCAACTGGCTCCAAGCAATTCGTTCTGGAAATGGCAAGCTTGCATTTACTGGTGGCCCCATGTTCCGATACCAGCCGCCACCAGGAAAAAGTATAACGACAGGAATGCATCCCACCAAAACTGCATGGAACAATCGCATTCGGAAGGTGTTATCCCCTGGCATAACGGGACAGAACAGCGCTCTTCGCATTTCTTCCGCCCAAATGACTTCAGAAGGTAAACTTGGGGAACCTCCCTTCTTGACATTTTCCCCGTGGCTTCCTTGTTCACGCCTGGAGACCGCGAACAAATGCGGCAAACGACGTTGCCATTTCTCAAGCTCCCCGAGCACCTCGGCCCTAAAGGGGCGCTCTGCAACGCCATCGGCCATGAAAAGCAAGAGATCTTTCGAAGCAAACTCCCAGCGCCCCAATGATGGAAGATCATCTGTGATAGTTGGAGGGGTGATGAGAGGTCCAAAGGCTGACCCATCGCTGCCACAAGGGGATGGGCCGTAGTGAAGAACCAGTGGTTGCATCTGAAGATCTTGGGATAAGTCGCTAACTGAGTCTGAGCCAAGGAAGAGATGTCGATGCGCCGTGGAGGCATTGTAAAATGTCAAAAGGGGAAGAAGCGCATTCAGTGGTCTTTGAGCTGAACATCGAACCCAGCAAAAGGGAGCACTCAAGGTACACCACATGGAGGACAGGAATGGCACAACGAAATATGAGGCCTCATCAGGATTCTCCACGAAGATCTCGTCTGGTCCTGCTAGGAGCTTGGCTAAGAAGGTGGCTTCCGCAACAAATGGCCGAAGGCCGTTGAAGATTCCTTTGGTGTTGTGTGTTTCCAGGCAGGGTGAGAGGCCCAAATTGCAGATTGCGGGGTTGGATTCTTTCTCCCGTACCTCTCCATGAAGGTGTTCCAACAATTTGCCATGTACAGCTGATGGCAGCTCATACATATAGAAACGGAGGTGACTTCGGCGACCACGGAAGTCATCAGGGTGAGCCTTGACCTTCACGCCTCTCATTCCTCTGCCCTTCATGATTGGCAAATCTGCCAAGCCCCCAAAAATTCTCTCGAAATGTTTTTGCCGCACCGACATTTCTTCAAACTTTTGGGGCCCCCAAGCTGCAGCTAAATTCCTGAGAAGTGAAGTAGCTCCTGTGCCATCCTCTGCTGCCCCACGTTCCGGACCTGCAAAGGCTCCGGCTGCGTTGGTGTTCGCCGTAGGCTGCACGCGAGCAGCGGCAGATGGCCCTTCCCAAGGAGGTGGAACTGTGTAAGCACCGCGGTGCCAAAGCCAACGGATCCACCGGATCACGTTCTCATTCACCTCGTCCATGGTGGTAAACCACTGCAGCTCTGTAATGCAGGGCCCACAATGGCGAAGAGTGGTCAAAGCCAAAATCCCTTCCAAATACGCTAGGCATGACAAGTGTCTCTCGCAGCCATTGGGAACAAGTTCTGGCCATGAGCCCAAAGCCTTGCCCCAGTTGATGGCTCCAGGTCCTTCTGTCTCTCCAGGATCCATTTGTGGCATCACTCCCGGCCTCAACTGATCCATCTCTCGTTCTCTGGCCAAATCAGCGTGCACCGCTGCACAAAGGCTCAATGCTGACACAAGGCCCGAGGGACACCAATAATCCCCGAAGTCCATGTACTTCGAGCTGGTCATTGCGCCCAAGTTCTCAAACTTCAAAGCCCCATCTTCGCGTATGATGTGGTGAAGCACTGATCTTACCAATGGCAATGCCGTCTTGTAGCATAGCACCTCCAAAGGCTGCGAACTGATGCCAAAAGGGCCCGAGCCCAACGGTGAGTGCGCCAGAGTGAAATTGAAGAGCTTTCGGAAATTTGCCCATGGACCACCGCAGTCACAGGTGGAATCCTGAGGTTGACTAGAGCCACTGGTTTCATCTGGCACCATCTTGCATCATTTCGCCATAAACTATCGATACAAATTGATCAAATTGATACACATTGCAATCTAGAGGTATCTAGAGTCTAGAGGCATTTGGGTGGTGTACTGCCAACAGATTTTCGCAGGATTTCACAATTTCAACCCCAACATATACAAACATTATCCAATTTTGGGTATGCAAAGGTATCTATCTCCACATTTCTGGAGAAAGCATTGTGAACATCGATCAGTCATCGACCTCAAGGTACTGCTCCAGCTCTAGGGAGGCATAGTTCAGGGTCGACCGAATTTCCAATCCATGGAGCAAGGCAAACCAGCGCGTAAGGTGCATCGAGCTGGAAAAATCGTTGCTATATGTCAATATGTTGCTATCTGTTTGATGTTTCATGCTGTTTTATGATGTATTAATAATCTGTTTTATGATGTTTTATGTATTTTTCTGGTTTTGTTCGCTTTTCCTAGGTTACAATCCTTGTACAGAAATGCTTTCCACCTTTGTAATCTTTGTAGCTACCACACACCCTCTCTCTCTCTCTCTCTAGCGCGCTCTGTGATTGATTCCTTCTCCTATTCTCTTTGTTCTGGTAAAAAAATCATCGGACTTTCCGCTGCACAAGTTCTTTCAATCCTCTCGTACAATCGCACCCAAGGACGAAATATGAGCCACCGACTATCTATGTTGATTTGCGTGATTTGTGGGCGCAAACTGCATCAGTGAATCAGTTCAAACTTAAACATCTCAAAACTCCAGACTCCAAACAGTTGTCAAACGACCAATTTGATCCGCTTGATTGGGGAGCCACACTGAAGCTGTGTTCAGTTACAGTAGCCGCTGGCTGGGAAATTGCCTCCTGTGCAAGAAATGCAAGAAAGAGTTTGCAGTTCATCTATGTCCATATGCGTACGCACGCCCATGTTCATAGATAAATACTGGAAGTGCGTATATGAAGATGTAAGGAACTGCAAAAGCATGCAAAAGCCATGTTCTAGTGTCGAATTTTGTCGAATCTACTAAAAGCGTGCGATTGGAATGCCAGTACGCACTATGACGGATACTCTCCGCCCCTAGAAGCGGCCACTGAGACCTTTTTTGCGAGATCTTGAAAGCAAGTGTCTGGAGCAACGTCCAGCATTCGATGGACCTGCTCGCTTCGCAATCCCGAAACTGCCCGACCTCTACTTTTGGCTACCCACATGTTTGCAATATGGAAAAAGTTGAACAATGTTGAACATATTTGGATGTTAGAGGAATCGGTGATAATGCAGCTGTCCCGTCATCGAAAAAGAGGTTTACATGGCCATACAGCGCAAAGAAGCGACCCGGTCTTTGACAGGATCTTTGCGCGACCTTTGAAAAGGTCCTTGCAAGCAGCCCGACAAGTCGATCCACACCCCAAACTCCCCTGAAATCAGCAAACATTTGCAGTCCTACTGGTTGGGTTCATCGGAATGCCTTCTTGCATTTCAGTCAATTGTTCAAGAACTTTCAACATCCTGGCTTCCAGCAACATCGGGGAAAAGCAAGCACCAACCACCTGGCCAACGTCTAGACCGTCTAGCTGCTAAAGATTAGTCACTAAATGTCACTAAGACATTCTGCGCACTTCAGCCTCACTCAGGTCACTTAGCTCATTGAGCTGGGCTGTCTGGCTGGGTCCAGCTGCTGGGTCTTCTCCGATAATCTACGACCCGTATGTCAGACAGTGATGGCAAGCAGTGCGCCAGCCCAAGCCTTGGAACCAGGAGGATCCATGCAACAGGATGCAACAGGTGGGTAGATATTATGAGCTAACAACATCTAACAACAACAAGTGACTTATCAAACAAGTCACTTAATCATTGTGGATCACAATGATCACCGACATGTATCCCATGTCCAAGTTTCCTTGGGTTTGTTACTTGACATCCTCCACCACAAGCATCCAAAAGCAATGCTACTGCAGCCCAGCGGCAGCACTTACAACGATGGATGCTGAGCTCGCAGTGCCTGCCAGGTCTAAAATGCACACGTCGTGTCTCATGGTGTGTCTGGCAGGATCTGAGGGATGTGGCTTGCAAGGCTCTGGATGCTGACGTATGTCTCCCTCAACCTTTGCCCCCGTGGGTGACTACGACCTCTCCTGCGTCTGCCGGGGTTGTGGTTGTAGATGTTGTAGTCAGTGCTGCACCTCAGTCCCAGGCAAAGATTCAGCATCACAGCGCAAATCAGTTTCACCAAGCTTCAAGGCAACCGCCATCCTGACAAAAGTTTGTTTTAATATGTTTTGTTATCATCAGCAGTGGGCAGTTTGACCAGTCCGATATAGCCAAAGGTCCTCACAATCACTTCCAGGGTCTTTGCTACAGGTCTTGCTGGTAGCGTTTGGTGAGACGAGCTCGAACTGTTGATGGATGGGGCAATGACAGTTTCTCCCCTACGACCTCCCCAATCATTGCAGGCTGCGGTCCCTGCCCAAAGAAGGAAAAACCAAACATTCAAGCCTGGTAATCAGATCCTTCGCTGGATGCTTGACTGCAAATATTCACCAATTCTGTCATGTTGGGTAAGCCGGTAGCCGCTAGGGTCTGCCCCGCAACCAAAGGAAACTCTTGGGCTGGGAATTGAAGAAGTCAAATTGTTGCTTGCCTTTCGCTGTGCCCTGGATTTCTCGTGGTATTTGAGTGTATCTGCCGCACAACATACACGATGTTTCGTTTGACACTGAAGTCACCAGGCAAATCTGAAAGCAACAATCATACTAATACTATCTAATACTATTACTATGACTATGACTATTACTAATACTAGTTCCTTCTGTCAACGGAGCTTCATCCTACAGCCCCTACAGCATATCCCTCCTGATTGTGGGGGGGGGGACCCCCCCCCCTCTCGTACATTTCTGCATTTGTAGAAGTATTATATAAATATTTAATAATAATAATAATATATATATATATGCATATATATATATGTATATATACATGTAAATGGTAGCCAACAAGGCTGGCACACCACCAAATAGATTCCATCTGCATATTTTGATGCACATTATGTAATGAACTTTACAGTAGAAATTAAGTGAAACCAACCTTTCAGCTGACTGAAAATGCCCCACGCTCTCCCGCTGCGATGCTTCAATTTCTTTTTCCCCGTCGCCATCCATTGTCAAGATGTTCCCCAAGATGTCATCTTGGAACCTTAAACGACCACCTTAAAGCAGGTGTTATGCTTGGGAAAAAGTGAAGGTTTCTTCTATGAAAAGTGCATGCTTCTGGTAGAAAAGTGGATGTCTCTCTAGAACTGCAAAGTTCGAACAACGATGAATAACGAAGCACATTACCATACATCACCTTTCCAACAGAGTTTGCGCAACAATCGAAAACGATTCCGCATATGCATTTCAAAACAATTCAAAGGGCCACTTTTTCAATGTTTTTATGAAAGACCAATTCTGACTCAACCTTGGCTTTTGGTCACTTTAAAGATCTTTAAAGTGGATGTTCAGGCTCCAGGAATTGATATTGGGCGTCCCAAGTTGATGAAGCGAGAGCAGCATAGAGCAGCCGCTGCTTTGTTCACAAATCAAGATGGTTGAATGTGTTACTGGGTTTGTCAATAAGTGAGCGAGTGGGTGAGTGAGATTGAGTGAGTGAGCGAGTGCGTGGGTGAGTGAATGGCAGCTGCTGCTCCTACTACTACTACTACTACTATTACTACTACTACTACTACTATTATATTACTACTACTACTATTATATTACTACTACTACTACTAATACTACTACTACTACTACTACTACGACTACTATTAGTACTAAAAGTATCAATACTACGCGCGGGTTCCGCGCGTTTGCGTTTCGCGCGGGTTCCGCGCGTATTCTTCTGCGCGGGTTCCGCGGGCGTCGTCGCATTCAAATTTCTTACTACTACTACTACTGCTGCTACTACTACTACTACTGCTACTATTACTACTAGTACTAAAAATATTCATACTACGCGCGGGTTCCGCGCGTTTGCGTTTCGCGCGGGTTCCGCGCGTGTTCTTCTGCGCGGGTTCCGCGCGCGTCGTCGCATTCAAATTTCTTATTATTACTACTACTACTACTACTACTAGTACTACTACTATTATATTACTACTACTACTACTAATAGTATTAAAAGTATCAATACTACGCGCGGGTTCCGCGCGTTTGCGTTTCGCGCGGGTTCCGCGCGTATTCTTCTGCGCGGGTTCCGCGCGCGTCGTCGCATTCAAATTTCTTACTACTACTACTACTACTACTACTATTACTACTAGTACTAAAAGTATTGATACTACGCGCGGGTTCCGCGCGTTTGCGTTTCGCGCGGGTTCCGCGCGTGTTCTTCTGCGCGGGTTCCGCGCGCGTCGTCGCATTCAAATTTCTTATTGCTACTACTACTACTACTACTACTAGTACTACTGCTAGTACTAGTACTAGTACTACTACTACTACTATTACTATTACTACTACTACTACTACTACTATAGTAGTACTACTACTACTAATACTAATACTAAAAATATTAATGCTACGCGCGGGTTCCGCGCGTCTGCGTTTCGCGCGGGTTCCGCGCGTATTCTTCTGCGCGGGTTCCGCGCGCGTCATCGCATTCAAATTTCTTACTACTACTACTACTACTACTCCTGCTACTACTACTACTATTATTACTACTAGTACTAAAAGTATTGATACTACGCGCGAGTTCCGCGCGTTTGCGTTTCGCGCGGGTTCCGCGCGTGTTCTTCTGCGCGGGTTCCGCGTGCGTCGTCGCATTCAAATTTCTTATTACTACTACTACTACTACTTCTACTACTACTACTACTAGAGTTTAGGGTTTAGGTCTCGCAAGGTAGAGTTTAGGATTTAGGTCTCGCAAGGTAGAGTTTAGGGTTTAAGTCTCGCAAGGTAGAGTTTAGGGTTTAGGTCTCGCAAGGTAGAGTTTAGGGTTTAAGTCTCGCAAGGTAGAGTTTAGGGTTTAGGTCTCGCAAGGTAGAGTTTAGGGTTTAAGTCTCGCAAAGTCGAGTTTAGGGTTTAGGTCTCGCAAGGTAGAGTTTAGGGTACAAAACCACTAAAAATTAAAACCACAGGAACCCTGCTCCATCAACTTGCATGCTCCTGAATGCTATTCAATTCCACAAATGTTCAGGAAACCGGGCTTCCGACCACTGCGTCTGAGAAACATAAGGCCATGGCACCGAACTGCAGGATTTGATTTTGTTTACTCTAGAGCTGGGAGCTGCCGCCGGGCTGGCAGGTTGTAACTAGGCGAGGTGCCAACATGAATTTCCCACCAAAATTGGGAATACGTAACAACGCTTCACTATTTGTGCTGCCCTGCCACCCCTTTTACACTTAATAAAACCATTGGTCTAACTCGTTTCTGGATCGTTAAAGGCGAGGTCGCAACTTAAATTTCCCACCAAGACCGCGGGAGCTACCAAGACTGCATTTGTTCTGTTGTCCCGCCCCGCTGTTTAAACTTATATGGCTATCGGTCGCTGTTGTTTCTGAAATCGACGAATTGTTTGTGGTATGCGCTCTTCTGCAAGGCATGAAACAAGATTGTGCTTCTGCAAAGCAAGCTGAGTTGAAGCAATAGTACAAAGCCCAAAGATGTTGTGACATCAGTAGCAAATTAGCAAAAAAAAACTTGAGCGGCGCTTAGGAAGCTTGCTGTGTACCAGTGCACGCGATGACGAATTGCTGCATCATCCCATGTTTTCCTATTGCAGGTTGAAAGTTTGCATTGTCACCTTGACCTTAAGTTACGAGAGTATGTATATATATATATAACGAGATGCAGAATCTTCTTCAATAAGTGTTTTCCTCAGGAGTGGTTGGGATAGCTTGCTGGGATAATATGGGATAGTGTTTAAGAAAAATGATGCGCAAAGGGCGGGGTATTGTTTTATTGTGTCTTGCAAAAGCTTGGTCCTGGTGAGGCCTGGTGAGGATCCGGTTCCGCCCAGCGGGCAGAACCAGACCCTATGCTTCGATGTCAGACCCGGTGAATCGGGGTCCGGTGTGGGGTCCTTGGGTCCGGTTCCGCCCAGCGGACAGAACCAGACCCCACATTTCTCACATTCCGCCCTGAAAATGCTTGCATATTCGGGTCTGGTTCTGCCCGCTGGGCGGAACCGGACCCAAGGACCCCACACCGGGTCTGACATCGAAGCATAGGGTCTGGTTCTGCCCGCTGGGCGGAACCGGATCCTCACCAGACCTCACCAGGACCAAAAAATTTCCTTCGATTCAAAATTAATTTAAATCCTTTGTAATTATTTTTTCAAAAATGATTAGAAATTGATTTTGAAGCTTGCCCCTATTAAAAAGTTCAAAACTTTAATATCAAAAAGCCCTCGATTCAAAATCAGTTCCAATCCTAATCATTTTCAAAATATGTTCAAAACATTGCCCAAAATTGATTCTGAAGCTTACCCCTAATAAAAGTTCAGAACCTTCATATAATAAGTAAATTTGCTGCGATTCAAAATTCATTCAATTCCTTGTCAAGCTTTGTTTGAAAAATGAGGGGACCCAACTATAAAACATTCGTGATCTTTTTATACTTCATGGAGGGGTGTTTTTTATCATCCCCAAAGGATGAGATGCAACAATAGATCATAATAGATCATAATCATCTGTGGGGATGGGTTATTGATCTCACATTGCTCCAAAAAGATGAAACCAGGCTACCCAGGCTTTTTATTGGGGGTCAGTTGAGGCTTCGATGAAATGAACTATGATGAACTGATGAACTCGTTGATTTCCAAATTGAGGCCAAGAACCAGGAATATGACATAGTGACCAAAACAGAACTCGAGGAAGACGCGGAGTAACCATTGCCCCCAAAAAGGAACAACAATCTAGCAATATCTAGCAAACATCAGGACATCACTGATATCACCTGAAGGAGTTAGCCTTGGGGAGGGCATCCAGCTATATCCAGCCACTTGGCAAAGATTTCGTCATGGGATCCGCGAAGATGCACCACCGGGTTGAAATACCAACATCTTGGTAGAGGATTATAGGTCCTACACACACAAAGACCATACAGAAACCATACAGAAACCCGGGCGCTGGGAGCTTGTCCAAAAAATTGGGTCAAGAATTCATAGCATCCTGTGGTGGTTAACCAAGCAGTAGCCAATTGAAAGGTGAAGGTTGCATCATGAGGAATGGATCAGTTCTGATTCCTGGAGGTTGTAGCCTCTCATGATAAGACTGTAAATAAAACACCACAGTTGATAGATGTTGATAGCCTATTTGTTTCAGCTCACTCCCAGCAATAAAAGGAAAAGTTCCATTGGAAGTCAAGGCCTCATGTTTGTGATCTGTAGTCCCCGTGGCAGGTTCAGCGAGCGCAGAAGTTTGCACACCTGTTTGCTCAGATGGCCGTTCCTCAGCTCACCGTTGCCAATGGAAAATAATCTGGTAGTCTTTCAGTTCTCCTGAACACCAAATTAAAATATTCACTGTCTGTATCAGTGGGGAAAGTTTCCGAGAAGTCTAAGCCTCTGAGTCCTTAAAGACTGCCAGCTTAAAAAATAAATGCCCTGCATAAATGTGATCACTTTGAACTAGATTCTGACTGTAGGTCCTTCATAGTTCTCGACAGAGTATGGGACTTGATCCATTGTCCTCTGTGCCACACAGCGCAATGAGCGGATGGACGCCGATGCCCCTGCAAAAAGTCACCGAAGAACTGTCCTGCAGAGTCGTTGCCAGCCAACTGATTTGAAAAACGCGGCAGACACCAAGCCTCCCTGAGTCATCCCAGAAGGGCCAAATCATCCCAAGATATCCCAAGTCTCTAGGTCTTTGCGCAGAAAACCTTTCACCTGCTCAACCCGCGCTCCAGTGGTAGTGTGCCCAACACGTATGCCAAGATTCGCAGTGGCACACATAGATAGAGTATTTCTCGTTCCAGACCGCGGGCCGCATTTTGCCGATACCTCGGCCACAAAAATAAAAACACTCAACTGGGTCCGCTTGAGGAGCCCCATGCACCTGGCAACCTCTAACACAAAGCAGAAACACCAACAAACTAGCACTAAGAATCAGCATGCTCAACAAACAACATCTTTCCGCATCATCCCGCATCATGTCAAATCTGCAGGTGTAAGGCGTCAAAATCCTCCAACAAAAGAATGAAAAGGGTGAGTGACAATTCAGATATAATTCTTTCCATGTCTTTCCAGTGCCCAGCTGCATGTTGGGAACAAGCAATGCGCTGGTTGCTGCCGTGGTTTCTCCAGAGCCATTGCTCTAACGGAGGCGCTGCAAATTAATCCAAATATCCCTTGAGTTAGATTTCTGAACCGGTCACCAAAAATTCATCCAACTAAATTAATCCAATGAAATTAATCCTGGAACTGACGGGGGTATCTGTATTAGTTAGCTAAGGTGCCACCCATGGCATTTTGCCACCCCAAAAAAATTGGCAGCCAAACGCTGCTGCGGTTCTATGCAATCACTCCACAAGGTAAAGCTGAACGTATCAAAATATTGATTTTTTGCTATAGTCCAACAATTGGTAGCCAACAATGCTGGCACACCAACGATATAAAGATAGTGATTGTTTACGCATGTTGGCCTTATCAAGTGGAAATTGGAACAGGAATAAACACTGGATGTATAGAAATTGGTTCTGGTGAGTTTGCGCCCCCCCCAAAAAAAATGTACGGAATCATATGGTAAGCCTTTGAGAAATGTACGGAAAAGTATCGTACATTAGCTAGGCCCCCCCCTACCGTACATTAGCAAAGGGGGGAGGGATTACAGCATTCTTCGCTGTATTCAGGCATACTTTTCAGATGCCCTTCTGGGTTTTCTAGACGCTGTGCATACACATTTGTCATCATCTGTCGTCATTTGTCAATCCTTTCGGTGTCCGGTTTTGAAGCTGCAATCAAAACAATCAAATGCCTGCAGCGACACTAGCCGGCTAGCTACGGAGCCATTGCGAGAGAACAAGTGAATAAAATGCAGCAGCATCCAGCATTTGTTGAAAAGGTTCATGAAGCATGAGAAAAAACTTATTAGCCCCCTTGTCGGCTTAGAAATTTTGCAGTTGTCTATGCAGTCCCCCTCCAAGTGGCCCTGAAAAAAATTCAGCACCACTTCCCTGTCCTGGAAACTGTGCGTGGTGAAGCCATGTGATGTCTATGTTGCAGCCGAAGGCGCACTCAGCCTCAAGCCCACTCTGCGTTCTTGGAATCCTGAGCCAACCACCCTGCGAATTTGGTATAAGCGAGCGACCTAACTAAGTGCCTAGATGTATTGGGCGTGCCCTGCAAATAGCAAAAAATCAGCCTTGGGTGTTTTGATATGTCCTTTCCCCAAATGGTTGTGCCCAATCTATCTGGATGGCCTCATTTGTTCAATCGCTCTTCCTGGTAGGAGACATCGAGCAGAGCAAGCAGTTTGAAGTCACTGCGCAGAGTAGGTCTCAAGAAAGGTCAAGATTTAGCAACACAACATCCAAGTGCACAGCTTCCTGGGGTTCTCCGCAACATCAACATCCCTTTTAGAGAAGCGCTGAAAAAAGACAACAACTCTCTGATTCGGACAACGTCAAATGCCCACGTCTCTGCAAGATCTCTTCGGAACCACAACCGGATCCCTGGACGAACGAATTCCTTCTGTGACTCTTTGCAAGACCTTCGAAGAAGATCTCCAAAACGAGATCTCGGTGCAAGACGTACCGACAAAAGCAATGTCCCTGCCACAATGGGCCGACCGCGTCCGCAACACAGCCTGAAAGCATCAGAAAACAACCCACATCTCAGTCGAGGTTTCGCCACCTATGCTACGTCTGTCATGCAAACCGAAGGTCCAGGGCTGCTACCCAAAAAGAACCTTTGGTCTCAGAACCACGGAGAGAACACACCTCCGAACTCAAGTAAGGTACCCAGCTCACTTTTAGGCAACTTTTTGGTCAGCAAAGTCATGCGAAAGCAACACATGTTGGGCCTGTGGTGTGCTGGATGGACAGGGTCGTAGGTAATATGAGGTAGCTGACACTGTTCAGCGCACGAGGAAAACTTCTAGGCTGCCAGCTCTTGAGGCGACTCAACGTTGATCAACGTTGTTTGGATGTTTGGAGTGGTTTGTTTGGAGTGCACCTGGTGGTTGTGTTCTTTTTCTTCGCAGTGAAGTTCCAGTCTGCAACGGCTTGACGTGGCTTGAGGAAATGCATTATAAACGTGTTCAAACACCTTGAATCACCTTGATGACTGCCAATCGCAAACACATTGGCGACAGACAGCATGAAGTTGCACGCCAAGGTTCGTGAGACTGAGTGATGTCTCGGCCAGCTCGAGCAAACCCGAACAAGCTTCAAGCCCTTCATTGATGGTGCAAAGCCAGTCCTGACAGGAGATTGAAAGTGCAATTCGGCTGGATAACCGCACAGATCGAACAAAATCAAGCTGAAAGGCAGCCACCTAAAAAACAATATCATGGTTCTGGTTCTGTACCAATTCAGCAAGGAAACAACCATCCTGCCATTGTGATCGCTTTTCTGCTTGGACTTTTGGAAAAAAAACACATTAGGGAAGAAAACCTTATGCCACATGCAACTCAAGGGTAGGCCTTGGATATGCCCAAGGCAATTGCTACGCATTCTGGAATTTCGAAGAAGTTGAATGGCCAACCACAACCATGCATGACAGCGGACAAACCTGAGCATCACGGCAAACTACCCTGGTCGTGGCATTCACATCGAAAGTCATCATATACTCCTGCAAAGCATGCGATAGCAGCAGGAATGTGCTTATATAACATATCCGCGTGTAAACATGGTGATTTGACGGCAAACATTTTTCCAGGTGCCCAGGAACACCAAATCAACAAATCATCGAAGTGTGAATCTGATTGGGAGCAGGGACTGCCGCTGAGGCACAATGACGATGGCACCCAATGGCTCACACAGCGAGCTGCAATTTGTGAAGCAGTATGGAAATTGGTCAGCAAAGGTTCTGGCTGATGCTATAATCGTAGGACACCTCGGATCGCTGTGCAACCACGAGGTCTGCACACAAAACAAGCTTGCAGCCATCAATAAGGAACTAGTGCTCGCTGGGCGGGCATTCTTCTAGTCGAGCTCATATTAGCAAGCAGGTTGATGAAATGATGCACATGACATGAGCAGCGGAGAAAAGAAGACCTATTTGGCAGGCAAGAGCAACTGCTTGCGCCGCAAATAGTGACACTGACCATCATTACGATGGCAAACATGATCATGATGATGATGATGATGATGATAATTGATTATTACTACTTTCTTAAATTGTACTATTGTTATTGCTAGAATTGTGATTATCTTTACTTTTGTTTTTATATGTAGCCATTGTTGCTATTGCTATCGTTCGTTATCATTGCCATGATTAAGATGCATCGAACGGCAATAAATCATCATCGTTGATTATTCCATAATATGTTCTTGAAGTGTAGCATTAGCATTGCTATTGTTGTTGCGATCATTCTATTTATTATTATTATTATTTTTATTATTAAGTGTTACTTTCATATGCTATTATCATTGCTATTGTCATCATATTTTTTACAGTAAATAGATATTACTATTCCGATTATGATGATTATATACGATTGTAATGATGAGAATGAGGACGACGACAAGGCCGATGGTGACCATGACGATAAATATACCTTGATGCACAAGGTGGAGCTATCTTTTTGTGAAATGCCCATCACGAGCATTATTACAAAACATGTCCACATAAAATCTGATATAGAGGAACATATTGCCTGAAAATGCAAGACGCGGAACAAGCGGAAGACATGATTGCGACAGCGTACAGTAACATGTACAATGCGGGGCCCAAAAGGGGGGGAGGGAGGAACGCACAGACCGGTGAACAGAGGGTTAAAACCTACCTGATTGGAGATCCCTGAGCTGGCTGTCGTGACATGTTGAAACCGCACACACACACAAAAGCACTTGCATTCATGAGGCTACAAAAAATCATCTGAGTACTGTCTTTGCATTAAGACAACATATTGACTCTGTGAAAAAATCCTTTGGCACCTTTGATTCCTGTCGATGACTGACTGAAGCCAACCCTAAACGACCTGGCTTCTACCACTGAGCCAAGCGTCACTGACTGCGTTTGCCCGTTCGCCACACCGGGAATCTGCGCCAAAGCCAGGAAGCAAGCAACCTGGGATCACAGCCAATGCGAAGAACAAAGAGGCATGGTCTTGTTGTGTGAAACACCTGAAATGAGCCCTTGTTGAAGAGCAACCGCCCACAAGCTTCAAAATGGACCCACTGCAATTTCATCTGCGAATGCAACATGTCGCATCCCCAAGCACAACCGAATGCTCCACTCCCTTTGACTGAAGCTTGGGAACGCGAAGCATGGCAATGCACAATCACAAGCTGAACCGATCGCTAGATTGGGAGCTGTAAATGCTGCTGGCTAGCAGCAAGCAAACAAAATTCAGACTTGCAAACCTATGCAAACGTGGCCCTGTGCTAATGCCCCACACACACACAATATGCACATATATATATATATATATATGTGTGTGTATAAACCACAACATGGATGTACTTGTGAATCCTTGAATATCTTTAAAATCGCAAGCCCTGGCTGCAGCTGCTTTCTAAGCATGGAGGAGTGTGCCGTCGCCTGCAACTCCTCCCGAAGGTCCTTTGCCACAGTGGCCTGGGATGGCTCGGGATGGCTCGGGTCATCCCATAAAGCCCATGTTCCCAAGAAGAAAAGATTGAACGATGCTTATCTTATCATACCATATCATGCCTTTTGAATGATACATGTATATTATATTATATTATATTATATATATATGTATATATGCCTATTATGGTACAATTCAACCATGAAAGGGATTGAATCTTGAGGATTGAAAAGGGATGCGAGCGTTGTCGATCTTCTATGAGTTTGCCCAGTTCGAAAACAATCATGTGATAACAATATCAAATAGCTCATCGTCAAATCAGTCAAACCATATCATGTTCTGGATGAAGTTTTAAAATAGATAATAAATTTATTGTGGCCTGTCTCGTTTCATCAATGCCGGGAGCGTCCCAACATTCTTGGCACCCGAGCCCATTGTTTGGCTTCAGCCATACCTCGGCCGGAGCGAGGACAGAGTGTATATGAGTGCATGACCCTCATGGTTCTCGACCAAATTCACTTTTGTTTTCAATCCTATTGCAATTAGGATGACAGAAACATACAGAAACCGGCTCTGCAGTGCTGTGCGGCTGTGCCCTGCAAGCTCTTCCGGCACCAAAGCTTCCCCAGGCTGGTGATGCGAGGATCCCAACATTCTCGCAGCTCTGTGTCATCAGTTTTGTTTCGAAGCGTTGAGTTTAAAGCCTGCCGGAAAGCGTTGAGGAATGCTACCACCCTGAATTGATTTTCAAATTCAAACAAGTGGGAACAAAATATGACAAAACGACTCGCCTTCGAATCACTTTCGAAGCTGAGGATTCAAAGCCAACCGGGGAAGCAGTGTAAGTGTGAGAAATCTCACTTATATACTAACACACACACACACTCACGCACAAATAAATATATACATATATACTTATATGCAAGATACAGTAATTTGTTTATCTATTTATTTATCTATTTATTTATTTATGTACATCATGTACATCATGTACATCATGTATATACTTCAGTAAAATATCATGTGCATCTGCTAAACCTCGTGGCCTACTAGTGTATGTGTTGCTCTCAATCAACACAGTGTCCAAATGTGTCCAAACCATTTCAAGATGTTTCAATGGGCCTCCGCTTCTAGGAGCTCCTGCTGCAGTTTCCGAACCTAAGCTGAAAGTATGCTTTACAGCTGCACAATAATAAACGCATTATATTTACAGATGTTACAGCGCCTTTCGAAGAAACCCAATGAACCAGGGGCATGGAAAGCAACCAACTGATGGGTTTGCTTCTGTTCAGGTGGAAGAATTGCAAGCCGCTAAAGACGTCTGAATGATGACTAAGGCACTCGTGACAGTGAGGCGGAGTGCGAGATGCCACAAAACAGCTTGAATCCAGGTTGCTTTGTGTATTAAACGGTGCATCTTGAACTGTTTAAATGGTATTGCGGTGTCCAAGGTGATGACCAAACTCTGCTCTTCGCTCAATTGACGTCTCAAGTCCTGGCTAGACGGCTAGACATGGCTGAAAATCCTTGCGGATTCACCGACGAGCTCAGCAGTGCCCGTGTCTAAAAGATTGGTCACCATGGTCACATGGCTGAAGCTAAGGCTAGGTCGAAGGTTTTCCTCCATGATAGATCAGTGATCAACGAAACATGATGATATCATGAAACAATCCGAATCCCAACACCAGCTGCAATATTTGCTTCCTACAAATAAATGAACTCTCCGATCATTCGTTTGGCCACAAGTTGAACATGCGGAGCTGTCTTTCCAGCGCAAGCCTAACTAGTGCCCCTCAGTTTGCCGGTTCCAATTTAGTTGCCAAGAACCCACAAAAGCCCAAGTGGCAGCATGGGATGGGCAACTTACCAGATTTGGCCAAAAGGAACTTCTGTACAGCTTCCATGTTTAAAGCTCCTCTCTTCAGAGGAGAACGAAAATTTCCTAAACGTCAAGTGCCTTGTGTGAATGATTGCCTTAGAAAATCCACAGCCGCTTCAGTTGCTGGAGCACCTTGTCTCAGAGTCTCAAGCTTTTCCTAGAGATGGATAGAGATGGGATGACTTGGGTATTTGTTTCTGGGAGACAAGCTGCCAGCTTATGTACATTGGATGGTTGGATGAGCCGAATGCAGAGAATGTCTTCAACAACTCGATCTGCAAAGGATACACCAGTTACGGGGGGAGAGCTACCCTCTCAGAAGTTGACGCTGTGGCTCTTGCTCGGGAGAATGAGCGGACCCTTCGCGACCATGTTTGCTGGACCTGTGGGGAAAAGCATCATTAAGCAAAATGGTCACGGAAAGAGTGAGCAGCCCAGAAAAAGTAATGCTTTCAATCTTTTGAGTCTTCTGGTGTGTTTGACAAGTAAAGGGCCTAGTCCACTCAAAATGCTGCTTTAAATCCTTTCCTCTCATTTCCATAGATACCCGAGGCACACAATCCTGCAAACAACCACACGGGAACCACTTTTTGAGCAATGGCAATGCCCAAATCCTTGCAAGTCCTTGTAAATCTTAGCATGAAGGGTACGCCTGGAATCAAGTCTCCATCATTTTTATCATCTTGAATCTCAAACGCACTTATCCGACCCTACCAGTTTATATGGCATACAAGCGTCACAAGTTTCCCAGGACTTCTAGGACTCTTGGACAACAAATGGTTAAGCCACGTCACTGGGCTAAGAGAGTCTGCTTCGGGCTCGAGAATCTCCACCTGTTGTCCTTCCTCCTGGAAGGTCACGGCAATCCGAAACTCACCTGGACTCATAGAGCCATAGAGCCATGGCTGACATCCATAACTCGATATGTTTCAATGATTTTCAATGATGTTCAATGATTTTCAATGTGTGTTCCTAGGATCAAAAAAATCAAATGCTCGTGACTGCTGGCTTTCAAGATGAATCTTGCACTGAACTGTCATGAACTGCCCCACCTTTGCCGCCTACTGTGCAATTGCCAATCTGCATGTTGCCCTTGAAGAACGTCACTTTGCCACCGCGTACTTGTAATCTGATGGCAGTTCATCAAGCTGTGAGGCAAGTGTGACATGCCAATGGCTACAACATGCTACAACAAGGGGTGCTGTGGAAAAACATTGTGCCCGAACAAATCATGAGAAATTTGGTGCATCCTTTCAGCTACAGGTAGCAGAATAATGCCTTTGGCTGAAGGCAGTTTAGTCTGTGGATCTGGGCTGCCCGCCTCACTATGTCCCCGTCACAAAGGCCAGGTGCAGGGCCACAAGAATTTCCGCTTTGCAAAACCTTGCCCGACTTTCGAATGCAAGCCATTCCAAAGGAAGTCGGCAACTCTTTATCTCCGATCTTTTGGGGCAGCACACCTGAGCGTCCGTATCCGATTCCAAAAGTGCGAAGAGCTGAAACCTCACGTGCATGTTGTTTTTGAACGATGCGTGCATGAACCGAGCCTCTGAGTCATTCTGAGTCCTTGACGCGAAATAACTTTAAACATCTAAAAAAAGCGTTTGTCATTGAGGGATGCTGAGGGATAGGGATTTGGATGCATTTTGAGGGTATCTATTTGCCACAGTTCCGCACATTACCCGCCCAATCCCAGCGGCTCTCTACGTTGCCACCCACAATGCCAAAGGTGAGTGGGACCTGTTTGCCTCGCTTCTGCAGGTAAAAAAACACCATGCGGCGATGCTTTTTGGTTCTTTGTTCCAAAAGTGGCACGACACAAATGCAGAGTGGGCAATGGGCAAGCACCAAAATGCCCTTCTCCGAATCACCCTGAGTTCTGGGACGCAGGAATTCGACAGGCATTTCAATATTCCGTACTTCTTCTTGGGCTAAATCATGCTGAGTTTCCACCCGCACGCGTAATCCTCATCAAGAAGTCGCACTGGTCATTTATCGTGAGCACCGGCTGGGTGACCATTGTGGTAGCAACACTGCAAGTGCATCGTGCAACTTTGCGTCGAGAATCACACCTTGGCGCAGCACATTGCCATGTTGATATCCACACACTCATGTATATAGTAGATACACATGTATATAGTATATACATATATGTACACACACATACATACATACATACATACATACATACATATAATATAATATGATATAATATAATTGTGTATCTATATGCACTATTATACACTATTATATTATACACTAATATACACTGTATATAATTGTATATATGGACTTCAAGCTGAGGAAGGGCGAAAATTACACGGAGCCAAGTGGCTGGACATTGTTGGCCCAGGTGAAGCCATCGGACTTCTGTCCTGGCCGGGCCAATGTCGCGCAATCGTATCCATAAACACATGGAACACATATGCACAACAATATAATACTACACACACACGCACACAAACACACACACACATATACATATATATATATAATCATCAAAACGCACTTCCCCGGGCAGCACACCCGTCCTGGCCGTATTTGTTTATTATTTTCTCGAGTCTTTGGTTTTCCAAATTTGGGGTCCCCAGGACCTCTTGTTTTCTTTTTTGTTTCGATTTTCTTCCTCTTTAAAACTATTTTTTCGATGTTTTTTTGTTTCCCCGGGGTTTTGCTCAGAATATTGTTTTCAAATGTGCGCTTGGCATTCATTTTTGTTAAATCCAATTTTGGAAGCCGAAATACATGCTCTTTTTATTCTATTCTGCAGTGTTTTGTAGGGTTGCATAGATTGGCTAGTACACATCAAGTAAGGTAATTTCATTTATATACATATTACAATATAGGCCCTAGAGTGGGCCCCCAACCATAGTTGAAATGTAGATGCAGAAAATCTTGACAAATCATGCATTCATTGTGAATACGGAAAAAGTACAGTACGTGAACTTACATGAATACATTTACATATATATAGAAGAGGACCGGAGCAACACCCAGCCCCTGCCAGTCTTCAGGGCCTTCGTGGGCGCACCTTTCACTGGCTGAGCATGGCTCCTGCAGGCTTGGGAGCTATGTCTATGTGCCTTCTGCTTCACTTCCCCATTTCACTTCCGAAAAATCACTGACGAAGTGCCGAAAGTGTCGAAGTCCCTTTCACTGAAGTGAGCCTCACTATAACGTTGACAAACTTCCAAATCAGCCCCAGTTGCTGTCAGTTTCCCAGGAGCCATTTTAAAGCCAGTTCCTACTGCTTCTGTGCAGCACCAATACCAGTGAAAACAGTTTTTACTGTGAAATCTTGAGTCTTTCTTGAACAGAGAGGGTATAGTTTGGCTGATTGCAGTTTATAAACCACGACTGGGTTCAACATGTTTCACAGCGAGAAAAGCCTGTGACCATGTGACCATGACAACCCCTGGGCCCAGCGCACCTGGGCGCTAACTGCGTCGGGGGGAACTGTCTCCGACAAAGAGTCAGCACCTCAGAAGAAAAACTGGTGGACTTGGCTGAAAGATCTGAAAGAATGCTGAAAAGTTTCAGCCAGAAACCCTTGAAATCTTGCTGCCAGCTCACCCAGCTTTCTTGGCTTTGAAGGAATCTCTGTTTCCTCTGCTGCCAGCCAAGGATTCAAATCCAAGGGTCTTCAGTTCTCATCTAATTAATATTGCAGGACATTCCTGAGCAACTACATGAAAACCCAATCAACATATGGGTTTGATTAAAACTAGTGTACCTCAAATTTGATGGTTTATCATGGTTTATCATCATCCTTGCCTTCTTCATGCGCGCGCATCTATGTATGATATATATTAATATAATATAAATATCTATGTGCAACATTTTTGGACAAACCATGACAAACCCATATCTGAAAATTATGTCACAATGCATTTTGATACATTTTGATGATGTAAGATGTGAAAAAGCTGAGACAGGGGCTGACAGCTGATGGAGTTCGCAGCCCATGTGACTTGAACCAACCCCTTCAGCGCAGCTACCACTTCCAGCCAAGCTGCGACAGGAAACAGTGTCAAAAAACATTTTTTTTGTTGAATAGATCTTCGGTTAATGGGGATTCCCCTCATAGATTAGGATAGTCCCGAATATATTTGCTGGTTTTTCGCAAGAACATACAAGAGCCACAAACATCAACCAACTGGTGCCTTTGAAATGGCTCACTGGCAGTGGTGATGCTGTCAACGAAAAACCAAATGCGCACCTCTGCCTTGCGGTCTTTGCGCGTAGCATCTAGGACTGATGAGATTGCTGCTGCAGCACTGGGATCCTGCAGGTGAGTACATGGGGCGTTCTGGAAAGCATCAAGAGTACTGAAGAATCACAAAGCGTGGAATATGTGGAATAGGGTGGTATGGTATTTTTATCCTTAGCCATCACTGTATGTTTGATTCAAGTCTTTGATTCCATCCCGGCGCTTAGCTCATGAAAACGCATCAGTGAAGCGCAAACAATCGGATCTCGCAGTGGCATGCTCACAGGCCTACGAACTAAAAGGCCCTCAATCATTCACCGCTATCCATCATTCATCACCATCAGGCTGCGAGCCAGGCTTGCCTCTGAAAGTGCTTCAGCCATAGAGAGCTGTGAGCGCAACTGTGCCACCTTAGCTGGTTATACCGGTCATAGGTGATTTTCGCCACGGACTAGCTTCCAAAGATAACATTATTTTGGGGGGACCATTCCTGAAACAGGTTTCGCCGAGTTGTTCGGGAGGCTGCGGCGCATTGCACTTTTCTCGGCGCGATAACATGTTGAGACCAGAAAAACATGCTATGCTCCTATGGCGTACACAGCATGCCCGCGCGAAAATTCTTCACTATGAACTATCATGAACTATCTCTTGGTAACACACTCAGACCTGATGGTCTTGGTGCAAACCTTGACACAGCTTCATCTCGTTCAATGATGACTTTGTTGCCATGGGTAACTTCAAATGACGAACTCCATATACTCCACGACATTCAACGACCAACTCCAAACTTAGGCTGCCTTTTCAGGCTCAGCGAAAGGCCCACACAGCTCAAGAATGGACTTCACATCCTCGTTGCGAAGGCGATGCGTTTTTGGATCTGTGGAAACCTCTAAGCAGAGCTATTGCAGTACATATTGGCATGTACGGCATGTATTTGCCAATATGATCCAATATGTACGGTTGGCTTGCTTTAGCCATGGCTACCCTTGGGTTCGCAAGCTGCTTAACTATCTTGCCAGCTGTCAGTTGGTCCTACTTGGGTACTCTTTATCTATCTTTATCTTCCTTATTCATGACTGGGTCATTCTGAGTCTGGATATGGAAGGTCTGTGTAGAGTAAAGGCAGTGTTCAGCCTGTAACCAAAGAGATTCCTGACTAAGGCCTAAGGGCCTAAGGGTTCACAAGAAAATCTGTGGAATCCAACTTCTGATCTGCATATGGCGGTGTTCGCATCGACGAGCAGCTTCCCAGCCATTGATCTTCCGCGGATTGGTTTGCACCAAGGGGTCATTCATGGTACGTCTTGCGCAGTCCTCCAAATCAGTCGTGGCAACTCCAACGTCTGCCATCGACAAAGGAAGACCTGTGGCAGGGGTCAAGCTGGCACTTTGCCAGAAGATTGATTGCTGCGGAATTCTAACATATACTCTGACCCAAAAAATCCCAAACAGATTTAAACGATCTGTAAACGATCTGAACACATTCTGAACACAACCCCAAGCCAAAGAACTCCCGAAGAAGCTAAAACCACACTGCACACGTCATGCACCAAGGTGCCCAGGACAAAAACTCCCGTGAAAGGACACCTCTGAGGCACCGGATTTTAATTTGGATTCCCGGAGTGAGAATTCGCCAACACATTTTGGCCAACAAATAACCGCCATTTTATGTGATATGGATAGAGATGGGTATACCACCACCAACTCCGTCGAAATGATCGACAATGTCTGCAATGTCTTCACCTGGCCTAAGTCAGTCACCAACCCAGCGACGCAGTCTGCAGCGCTCCTGAGTCTGTAAAGCTCGCTGCAGTAGCTATGGCCCAAAAAATCCCACAACTACCATATCAACCATGGGGAGAACATGGCTGAACTATGCCCCAAATTCCCGATAAAACATGGTCTCAATATGTTGACCCATGTTGAAGCCTGGAGGCTACTATTCGGATTGGGGATCTCCTGAGATTGATGCGGGTCAACATCAATTTTTCCGGGCCAGTTCTTTTCGTCTCATCCTTTGTTCCCGTGTTCTCAACCAGCTTCGATTTCTTGACCCCAGCAGATTGGAAGGCTGATACGACCAGTTCTTGACGCTTCAAGCTGTCAGCATCCTGCAGCCGTCATGGGAAAGCCGTGAAAGGCAGTCTCTCGTAACCTTTTGATGCTTTGGTGAAACATGGAACACAGAACATGTCTGAAATAGTGCCAGACAACAATATCTGCCAATATGTATGATTATATTGTATTAAATTATATTGTATTAGCATTTTTATTTGTACTGTAGTGTAATGTTGTATAATGTATGCATGCATGCATATCTATCTATTCTATTCTGTTCTGTTCTGTTCTGTTCTAGCCTACAAAAAAAATATATATCCATACACTTTTGTCTTAAATGAACAAATAAATATAACTATTATATATATATAATTAAATATATATATATATACACATACACATACATAAACATGTAATAGAGATATACACTATGACCTATGCTCAGTTGGTATAGTATACTATGGAATTATTCGAATTCTTGGACAATGTGCAGTGTGCAAGTACACTGGTCGAACATGACAGGTCACACATAGCAGAACTATGCCGAACTCAAGTTCTCTGAAGATTTTGAGCTTGATGAACGCATGTCAAAACATTCAAAACGTTTCGGCACAGGTTTGTCAATTTTGTCAAAGCTAAAATTGTCTTCAAGGCACGGGGTACCCCAATCACTGGCAAACCTGCCCAAGCAGTTTCAGCTCTGGGCACACGACACTCCACAGTTTCAGGCCTCTGCGTTCCACCGCAGCACAGCAGGCAAAGCGACACAGGAGGTGTAGCCGTGAGGGACGTCAAAGGCAGGACCCAGGATGTGGCCAATGGCATGTGAAGCTCCCATTTGGGGACCACTTTGACATGCCTGAACTGCCTGAGGGATAGGGATGATTGGGGCCGGATGTGCTGTGCAAATGTGCTGTGCAAATGTGCTGTGCAAATGTGCTGTGCAAATGTGCTGTGCAAATGTGCTGTGCAAATGTGCTGTGCATGGCAGTAAATAAATATAAATAAATGGTAAATACATGTAAATTATGGAAGCGAACGTTGATCCAGATGCCCCGAGCCTGGAAAATACCCAGCTGACAGTCAGTTCTTGCATCCTGGTCTGTTGGATTTTTTTTCACACCGCGCAAGCCACGGACCAGCAAGGTGAGAGCTGCCGATGCAAGGCCGTCGCTGTAGGGGTTTCCACTCAAGGAGCACAGGCATTCGACACAGTGGTCCACAGAACGAAGGCCTTGGTTTCATTCACAGTTTTTGGGAGCGTAAAGCGACCTATGGTAACATCTCACTAAAAACATCCGAAAAGATCTTGAATTTGCGGTGGACAAAAAAGTGCTGGAACAAATGCAATTAATTAATAATATACCATAAAATTCTTTCGCTGAAGCATTCAAACCGCAAATCTCATTTGCACAAATCCATCAACGCATATTACGCACTGCAAGCTCAGGTGAGAATCCTGTGGACAAGAAAAGCCACTCTGGGGTGAGTTGCACCAGGCATGGATCCAACACAATGGCTTTGGGAAGTGCATCAAGCCAAACCTAAGCCGCACACTAAACCACCAACCACTTTCATCTCAGCACCAGGCCAGCAGTCTTACTTTTCTCTGCTCGGCCCCAGTTTCTTCACAAAAAAGTGGCTTCCGGATTGAAATCGCAGAAGCTTCTGTAATTTCCATAACCAAACACATCCGATAATTTCCGTCCGCGGCTTCAGAAGCATACAGTACATTGACATCTATATATTTTTGGGTGTTGAAACCACCATTCTTACCAGTTATCTCTCGCTCCATCGCTCTTACCACTTGTATAACTCATACTTTTCCCGATTAAGTCACGACTTTTAATCTTTTCTTGGTGAAACCCCCAAAAAAACTGTGTGTTTTTACTGGTGAAATCCGATCTTTTTGCGCATAAAAAACCTCTGTTTCTGACTGATGAAATCGCAGCTGTGACACGTAGGTCTCCTTCACCTTGGTGGATGGATCAGTGCATCCGGCGTAAGGGGCAAACTCGCCGGCGCTCAAGGTGCTGGGGACGGAGACCTGCCATTGTGCCATCTGGGATCCACAGAAATGGCGAAGTTATGGAGAATTTATATCATTAATAGGATTTAATAGGTTGATATTCCGGGTACTTTATCGAATTTTCCAAGTACAGGACATGAATCATGAATGGACGCACTAATTATAGAATACAATGAATACACATATACACACAATTACACACATATCTCTTTTTTGAGCTTTGACCATGAAATAGAATGGCATTATTTCTCATGGAAACCAATGGATTTCAGGAGTTAGCCAGTTAGCCGAGTTAGCATAGCTGCTTTCATCGGAAACCCATCTTGGTGAATTGAGAGATGAGGCAAGCCGCCGCCTGCGGGATGAGCTTGGTGTCCTTCACCGCTGCTATGTCGCCTTTCAAACAATATTGACCAAGGCTCTCCCCGTCCGTCACTCCAGTTTCGAGCGCAATGCGCACGACTTTGGCTCCATCGGTCAAACTTCCACCGCCAATGGTCACAATTACGTCTGCGTTGGCTTTTTTCGCCTCTGGGCAAAAGAACTAAACTGTTGGACTCAATATATGACTCAATCTTTAAAATCTGCAAATTGTTACCTCGCAGTCATGCTCACATGTGTTTACAAAGCAAATTACGAGCAAAAGGATAGGTAAAAACTGTGCTGTACGTCGTGCACCCAAGGGACTACCGCCAGAAACAAAATGCTGTACTGTAGGTGTTCTTATTCCTGTAAGTTCCTTCCTTCATATTCCTTTTATCTTACACGCACGGATGGCTTCAGGATGCCCCATTGGCGCATAACTCCACCACATGTTTCTGAGTTTGAGGCGGCAACCATATTCTGCAAACTGAAACACTGCAGGCTGTAAGCCAAGTAGCCTCCTGAGCAGCATCCAGCACTGCATCGCGAGGCGTGTGTGCCGGCATACCATGCCAAACTCCCACGCACATCTCGCCCAAAGCATCAACGATCTCGTCAACTGCGCCCCCTTCTGACCGCAAGGTTCCACTGACCATCAAAAAAGCGCGGCTGCATTGCCTGGATTCAACAGCCAGCATGGCAGCAAATCAAACGTCAAAGAATCAAAGAACCAGGATGAACCAGGCACATTGAACAAATATGAAAAAATATGACAACAATTATGACAAAATGGAAGAATGGCCCGGAATTAATCTCAGACCAAGTGCAGCTTCTTGATCGCAGCTGGTAAGGCTTCTTTCGCGGCGCTTCCCCAGTGCACTGCTGGAGGCAGTGCATGTGTGTTGATTACCTTGGTGTCACTGAGGGCCAAATATCCACACTAGCCCACACCAACATCCTCCCTCTGAAGATGTTTCAGGGTCAATCTCTTATCATCTTCAGCTGGCAGTTCCTTCTGTCCATGTGGGGAACTGGGGAACAGTCAAATACTGCAAATTATGCCTGCAAGTGAGTTGCTCCTTCTGCGGAGCTGGCATGTCTAGTCATTGAAGGCCTCCTTCTCTGTCTGAGAACCAATGGCACGCCCAAAAGGACTGACGCAGCAAAGCGCTTGGTTCCACGCCAAGGTGATCTAGTGGCTGGCTGGCTGACGCGACGAACACCAAGCGGCAACTTATCAGCGGCAAAACCTACACCGCTTACAAAGCAAAGCATTGAGACAGCTCTGGAGCCAAAGGGAGCCAAAGTTCGGCCAAGTGGCCAACAAAATCCAGCTTCGACATGCTTTGCTCACATCTTTCGGAGTATGTACACACATATAATAATCTAGAATAATACATATATATATAAGTATAATTATGTATATAAGTATGTGTAATCAATGAGAGTGTTGTTGTTGATCTTGGCTGCTTCCTTCAAATCACCCGTGTTTCTACAAACAAACCAACACAGAGTGACAGAGTGAAAGCAAAATTACCAACTCACAATCTCCTCATGAATCGTGGTGACGACATCTGCGAGTTAACAACACCAGTTTTCTACTGAGTACTGTCATTGTCAAGGGCGAGCTTTGTCTTACTTTGCTGCATGTAGAATCCAAAAAATAATGCACATACAAATGAGACAGCTTGAAGCTGCCAATTTCCGAAGCCCAACTCAAATACATTCCGAAGGCATGCCGAATCAAGCTCCAGGCTAGCGCAGCCTCTTTGGACAGATTTTGTTGCATTTGATCCTGGGGAAATGGCGCAGCACATTTTGCAGTCCCAAGTTTCTCGCTCCTTCCAGAACATTCCATCGCAAATAAGTTTGAGTGGGTTTGTCTAAAAAAGGCGCCCCCAAGAATCAGCAAAAATACCATGGAGTCTCATCATCTTCCCCACCAGAATCGGGTTATGGTTATGGCATATCTCATTTGCAAACACAAATGATCCCCACTCTAGGCCCCTTGCTGCCACTCGCTGGGCACGGGCAACCTCGGCCTGCAGACTTGGGGAACATCTTTGCAAACGCCAGATGTGTAGGGTGAATGGTTGAGCCTGGGTTCGAAGCAACAGCAGTGTTCGGAATACAATAACATTCAACAGCAAACAACAGCAATCAACATACATCACTTTGGGAAAACTCCATCTGCTGATACCTGCTGCGGTCCATTTATCTGAATGCCACTCTTCTTCTTTTTGTTTCTTGACAACCCTCTGACAGAACGCGTTCACATAGCGTCATAGCCTCCAGTGCAGCCTCTCTGGACTTTAAATGGAAGGCATTTGCAGCCTGCAGTCGCTGCAATGAAAAGTCGTGGTTTCTGGCCAAGGAGTCTTCCCGGAATTAAAGCACCCATATTACAAGAAAAGTGGTGAGATCATCCCAGATATACCATGCCATCAAACCGTCAAGTTTTTTCCCGACTGTTTGGGAGCCCCTTGTGCCTCATGGGAAGATCTGTGTCTCAAGGCAGCCTCTGCCTAAGCACCGATCGGGTTTGACTTGATACGTGCCCAACACTCACCTCACCTTATGTCCAACCACCTCATCATATCCTTAACTTATCCCTGATGTGCATGAGTCAATGGGGCAAGTATTGAAGGAAATGCCACGGCCAAATAGGTCACCAACCTTTACTTTATGGATGCCTAAGCACCAAAATGGCATGATCCATTATACTTATTTCTATATCAATATCTGTTATATGAGCCTGAATTAACCTGTTTGTGATCCTCGTCCGCCATTCTGTCAGAAAATGGCTTGATTGAGGAAATGAAAACAATGATTCCAATGAAAAGGTCCTAGAATAATGAAGAAAAGTCACAGGATAGGAAGCAGTCAAAAACATCCCCGGCAATAAGCAACAAATGCAAACCCAAACAACTATCTTATGTACATATACATAAATTTAGATAAATTTAGATCATTAGCATTATGAGGCATGACGCAATATTTCGATGTATTTCAACTATGCAAACCCTTGCCGTTTCAGCGTCATTCCTAGAGGAGCCACAGTTCTCTACTACCATCTGCCCTTCCCCTGTGGCCTCTGATCGGGCAAGCTGATCTTTGAGCCTGGAGAAACTGCCGTGGATCTGCTATGATCTACAAATAGAAAGTAATAGAGCAAGGATTAAAACGGGACATCATCCTATGTTGACTCTATTGAACCCGTTAGCACTCCCAAGGGTTGTAATCCATTCATTTCTGTTTCTTTGTTTTTTTTTTTTACATCTTTTAGCTTTTATCATCTTTGAACTTTTATCTGTTTATGGAATTGAGACATTCAACTTGCTGCCGGAGCTCCAAATTATCACCGATGCTGTCACTTCCCAAATGATCAGCTAGGTCTTGAGATCATGGCGATTGCACGACAGATGCTTCGTCATTGGCATCTGTTCTCAAAGAATCTTGCCTTGGAGGCCACTGGCACAGCAAGCAAAACTTGTTGAGATGCAATTGGCAATGCATTTCTGCCTTCAATACACGTCAACTCATCTTAACACGGTGTCATTCTCACCTGCAAAGAGCCTTCATATTGTGTTTCTATGTTTTTTCTCCTCTCTCATTAACTCTGATCAACGTTCATCAGCAGCAACCTGCCACACACTCTTTTCGTCAGCAATTCTGGTCGCACAAAAAAGGCTCGCCGGGCTCACCGCCTGGCAGGAGTTCAACCGAAAGCGTCGGCAGCTAATGCAGCTACCGTCAATCTTGTCTTAACATCATTAGCGGAGCACAATGCAAATCATGCAGTGAATCAAGGATATCTAATTGCCTCATTCAACCACAACCTCAGCATGGCAAAACCTGGGAACTTTCAAGGTTCCTATATAAAAAATGTGTCCATTCTACACATCTGTAGGCCTACTTGTGGGGGTGATGTAAAACCAAAAAACCACTCGAGCGAAGCTGGCTCTTTCCGCGTGTCTCAATGGGCTTGTGTTTTCGGAATCCAGGCTTGATTCCCTGGACTTGAAAAATCGGGACGGAGGCAGGTGCTCAAAGCAGCTCCGGCTTGTTGAAGTAGATCCAGAAGAGCACTGCAGGGCCCAAGGAGATGATGAAAATAGCCCAGCCGAGCTGCAGCAATGCATAGCCAGAGTTGCCAGCATGCGCAATCTCTGGGACGGTCAACACTGCAGCCGAGATAGCTGCTGCTTGGGCTGCTCGGTCCTTTGGTGCAGTCAGCGCAGTCTCACCGCGAAGGGCGGCTTCTGGGGCAGAGACGAATGCCATGCTGGCAAGACCAAAGAGGGCCAGGCACACAGCCATCACCAAGAGCGCGGACGAGCGACGAGTCATGGTGAACAAGGTGCTACAGAGCTACAATCCTTGAGTTAAAATGCTCAGCTTGAGCCAACAGCTTGGGAATGTGCAGCCTTTCCATGTTCAGTCTCCACAAATGGCAAAGTGGATCACAACAATTGCATAATTAGGTTGGTCAAAAGAACAAGGAAGTCTCAGGCTTCAAATCGCTTTCTCTCTCTCTCCCCCCCTCCTTTCCACACAATTTCGCAACTACAAAACAAGAATCACTAGTCACTAGAAGATCTAGAATAGAAGTGAACGCCGCAATTTGATGCTACTGAATTTATGCCATTAAGTATCATTAAGTTGTGTTCAGTTTGTCCCAGAATAAATCAGAATATTGCAACGTCGTAACATATCAAGACAATTCGTAACATATCCCAGTAGTACCGCACAAGGCGGTGGCGGAAGTTTCAAAAATAGGAAACCTATAGGACCTATAGGAGAGGTTGGTTGTTGTGAATCACGGATGGCCAGCGGATGGCAGAGCGAATCCACTGATGGACCGAAAGGTGGTTAAGGTTTCCTCTCTTTCTCTCTCTTTCTCTGTCTTTCTCTGATTATCTACCTACCTACCTACCTACCTACCTACTGATCCATCTATTTATCTATCTTTCTATCTATCTATCTGTCTATCTATCTATCTATCTCTCTCTCTCTCTCATCTGTCTGTCTAACTGTCTCTCTATCTATCTATCTATCTAACTATCTATCTATCTACCGACCGATCTATCTATCTATCTACCTATCTATCTATCTCTATCTATCTATCCATCCATCTATCTACCGACCGATCTATCTATCTATCTATCTACCCTTTATCTATCTATCTATCTCTATCCATCCATCCATCCATCCATCCATCCATCTATCTAATCTATCTATTCTATCTATTCTATCTATCTATTCTATCTATTCTATCTATTCTATCTATTTATCTATCTATCTTTCTATCTACCGATCCAGCTATGTATCTATCTATCTACCTATCTATCTGTCTGTCTATCTATCTACCTGTCTATCTGCAAGGTTGAAAACCAAGCTATTCTGCGAGACTTCTTCATTTTTCAAAGTTGACAGCATCAAAAACGCAGCAATTCTGCGAGACTTCCTCATTTTTCAAAGTTGACAACATCAAAAACGAAGCAATTCTCCGAGACTTCCTCATTGTTTGCACGTGACAACACCAAAAACGAAGCAATTCTGCGTGACTTCCTCATTTTTCGAACTTGATAACATCAAAAACCAAGCCATTCTGCGAGACGTCTTCATTTTTTGAACTTGACAACATCCAAAACGAAATAAAACGAGGCAACTCTGCGAGACTTCTTCAATTTTTGAACTTGACAACATCAAAAACAAAGCAATTCTGCGAGACTTCCTTCAAAAATGGAAAGTTGACTGCAGCGCTGCCGGCCTCGTGCCAATGAGTTTCGCGATATTTCCACTCCACCTGTCTAAAGTACTGCGCCTGCCACGAAAAAGTGAGGCCAGGTCATGCGAAGTGCTGCACCTGTCACGCAAAATCATCTTCCCAAAACTGAAGATCTCAGGCTCCAAAATGAAACCCCTCTCAGGAAATCAGCGCCCGACCTCCTAATCAATGGCCATTCCAGGATCCTAAATTGGAGGTACCTACCATATATAAGGCCTATATCAGGCCTATGTAAGGGAATATCCCCACAAGATATGGCCTTATATGGTACAGTACATCCAATTTAGGATCCTGGAATTCCCATTGACCTAACAGCTCTGATGAAGATGTCTCTTGCGCCTGCCACGGAAAATGCATCTTTGCAGATCCTCTTCAAATGTCCCACGCCTGCCATCCTTTTTGGAAATGCTACAAACCCCTCACGTTTTGCCATGCGAAACGACATCTGAACCTCCAAAAGTGGTCCGAACCCCTGGTGTTTTTAACATTTTGACTTCGAAATGTGCTTCGCGCCACAACGGCGTGCACTTTTTCGACATCTCAACTTCCAAAAGTGGTCCGAACCTGGTGTGTTTTGTACATTTTGACTTGGAAATGTGCTTCGCGCCACAACGGCGTGCAATTTTTCATCTCTCATCTGGCCAGCTGGCTTGGCACCCGCCGCTTTAGCGAGCCTACTTTTCGACCCTCCGGAGCCCCAAATCATTGGAAAAACACAGTGTTTCGCGACTTTCCTACCTTTTCGATCCTTTTCGCGCATCTGCATCTTCTTTCTTCTGACTCTTTCTCTTCTCTGATCTTCTCTCTTCTGCTCTTCTCTTCTCTCTGACTCTTCCCATCTCTGCTTTTCATCTGTCCATATTGTCGGAAGTTTGACTTCTAAACTTCCTTCGATAACATGGTAAGATCCTGTCTCAGTCCAAACTCTACAAATTTGCGTAGCAGTGTGGGAATGTCCGAATGGTCGAGAAGTCAAGCAAAGCTGGCTCTTTCAGCGTGTCTCAATGGGCTTGCGTTTTCGGAATCCAGGCTTGATTCACTGGGAAAAACGGGACGGAGGCAGGTGCTCAAAGCAGCTCCGGCTTGTTGAAGTAGATCCAGAAGAGCACTGCAGGGCCCAAGGAGATGATGAAAATAGCCCAGCCGAGCTGCAGCAATGCATAGCCAGAGTTGCCAGCATGCGCAATCTCTGGGACGGTCAACACTGCAGCCGAGATAGCTGCTGCTTGGGCTGCTCGGTCCTTTGGTGCAGTCAGCGCAGTCTCACCGCGAAGGGCGGCTTCTGGGGCAGAGACGAATGCCATGCTGGCAAGACCAAAAAGGGCCAGGCACACAGCCATCACCAAGAGCGCGGACGAGCGACGAGTCATGGTGAACAAGGTGCTACAGAGCTACAATCCTTGAGTAAAAATGCTCAGCTTGAGCCAACCTCTCCCCTTTCCACAATTTCGCTTTCTCTCTCCCTCTCCCCTTTCCACAATTTCGCAGCTACAAGACAAGAATCACTAAGATCTAGAATAGAAGTGAATGCCGCAACTTGATGCTACTGAATTTATGCCATTAAGTATCATTAAGTTGTATTCAGTTTGTCCCAGAATATATCAGAATATGGTAACATCGCAACATGTCGTAACATATCTAACATGGTAAGATCCTGTCCCAATCCAAACTCTACAAATTGGCGTAGCAGTGTGAGAATGTCCGAATGGTCGAGAAGTCAAGCAAAGCTGGCTCTTTCAGCGTGTCTCAATGGGTTTGCGTTTTCGGAATCCAGGCTTGATTCCCTGGACTTCAAAAATCGGGACGGAGGCAGGTGCTCAAAGCAGCTCCGGCTTGTTGAAGTAGATCCAGAAGAGCACTGCAGGGCCCAAGGAGATGATGAAAATAGCCCAGCCGAGCTGCAGCAATGCATAGCCAGAGTTGCCAGCATGCGCAATCTCTGGGACGGTCAACACTGCAGCCGAGATAGCTGCTGCTTGGGCTGCTCGGTCCTTTGGTGCAGTCAGCGCAGTCTCACCGCGAAGGGCGGCTTCTGGGGCAGAGACGAATGCCATGCTGGCAAGACCAAAGAGGGCCAGGCACACAGCCATCACCAAGAGCGCGGACGAGCGACGAGTCATGGTGAACAAGGTGCTACAGAGCTACAATCCTTGAGTTAAAATGCTCAGCTTGAGCCAACAGCTTGGGAATGTGCAGCCTTTGCATGTTCAGTCTCCACACACTCCACCCCTGCATTCCGGGTATCCTCCTGACACATGTTGATGAAACATGATTAATTAAACAAGACACTTGAAGCCTGAATCTGGCCAATGTTCAGTGCACTTCCATATCTGCAAACTTAAACTGAGACACGCATTCCACACCACATATTTTCATATATTGTCATATATGATGCACAAGAGTGCTCTTTTCCTTCAACTGTGTCACCAGCACGCATGAAGCACATCACAGTAGAAGCATGATGTGCCTGCCTTTGATTGTCCGGAGTCCATAGGAACAATATAAAAACATTTTGCAACAAAAAGGTCCATGACATGCCATGACATCCCCTGACAAATACTCTCAAGAAGCTGGCTCTTTCCGCGTGTCTCAATGGGCTTGCGTTTTCGGAATCCAGGCTTGATTCCCTGGACTTCAAAAATCGGGACGGAGGCAGGTGCTCAAAGCAGCTCCGGCTTGTTGAAGTAGATCCAGAAGAGCACTGCAGGGCCCAAGGAGATGATGAAAATAGCCCAGCCGAGCTGCAGCAATGCATAGCCAGAGTTGCCAGCATGCGCAATCTCTGGGACGGTCAACACTGCAGCCGAGATAGCTGCTGCTTGGGCTGCTCGGTCCTTTGGTGCAGTCAGCGCAGTCTCACCGCGAAGGGCGGCTTCTGGGGCAGAGACGAATGCCATGCTGGCAAGACCAAAGAGGGCCAGGCACACAGCCATCACCAAGAGCGCGGACGAGCGACGAGTCATGGTGAACAAGGTGCTACAGAGCTACAATCCTTGAGTTAAAATGCTCAGCTTGAGCCAACAGCTTGGGAATGTGCAGCCTTTGCATGTTCAGTCTCCACACACCCCACCTGCTGCACTCTGAAATGGACATGACAGCCCATGTCCTTTCCACACAGTTTCGCAGCTTCAGAACTACAACCACTAGAGTCACTGGAAGAGCTAGAAGTGCTGAATGCCACAATTTCTATGAATTTCTGCCATTCAGTTTGTCCCAGAATATATCAGAATATGGTAACATCGCAACATGTCGTAACATATCTAACATGGTAAGATCCTGTCCCAATCCAAACTCTACAAATTGGCGTAGCAGTGTGAGAATGTCCGAATGGTCGAGAAGTCAAGCAAAGCTGGCTCTTTCAGCGTGTCTCAATGGGCTTGCGTTTTCGGAATCCAGGCTTGATTCCCTGGACTTCAAAAATCGGGACGGAGGCAGGTGCTCAAAGCAGCTCCGGCTTGTTGAAGTAGATCCAGAAGAGCACTGCAGGGCCCAAGGAGATGATGAAAATAGCCCAGCCGAGCTGCAGCAATGCATAGCCAGAGTTGCCAGCATGCGCAATCTCTGGGACGGTCAACACTGCAGCCGAGATAGCTGCTGCTTGGGCTGCTCGGTCCTTTGGTGCAGTCAGCGCAGTCTCACCGCGAAGGGCGGCTTCTGGGGCAGAGACGAATGCCATGCTGGCAAGACCAAAGAGGGCCAGGCACACAGCCATCACCAAGAGCGCGGACGAGCGACGAGTCATGGTGAACAAGGTGCTACAGAGCTACAATCCTTGAGTTAAAATGCTCAGCTTGAGCCAACAGCTTGGGAATGTGCAGCCTTTGCACGTTCAGTCTCCACACACTCCACCCCTGCATTCCGGGTATCCTCCTGACACATGTTGATGAAACATGATTAAACAAGACACTTGAAGCCTGAATCTGGCCAATGTTCAGTGCACTTCCATATCTGCAAACTTAAACTGAGACACGCATTCCACACCACATATTTTCATATATTGTCATATATGATGCACAAGAGTGCTCTTTTCCTTCAACTGTGTCACCAGCACGCATGAAGCACATCACAGTAGAAGCATGATGTGCCTGCCTTTGATTGTCCGGAGTCCATAGGAACAATATAAAAACATTTTGCAACAAAAAGGTCCATGACATGCCATGACATCCCCTGACAAATACTCTCAAGAAGCTGGCTCTTTCCGCGTGTCTCAATGGGCTTGCGTTTTCGGAATCCAGGCTTGATTCCCTGGACTTCAAAAATCGGGACGGAGGCAGGTGCTCAAAGCAGCTCCGGCTTGTTGAAGTAGATCCAGAAGAGCACTGCAGGGCCCAAGGAGATGATGAAAATAGCCCAGCCGAGCTGCAGCAATGCATAGCCAGAGTTGCCAGCATGCGCAATCTCTGGGACGGTCAACACTGCAGCCGAGATAGCTGCTGCTTGGGCTGCTCGGTCCTTTGGTGCAGTCAGCGCAGTCTCACCGCGAAGGGCGGCTTCTGGGGCAGAGACGAATGCCATGCTGGCAAGACCAAAGAGGGCCAGGCACACAGCCATCACCAAGAGCGCGGACGAGCGACGAGTCATGGTGAACAAGGTGCTACAGAGCTACAATCCTTGAGTTAAAATGCTCAGCTTGAGCCAACAGCTGGAGAACACAATTGCTGCTCCAGGTTCAGGGCACAAAATAGAACACCCCTTTTCAAGGATTCTTTTTCGGGAGACATGTCAGACACCGAGTGAACAAGTATCACTGCCATCAGCCAACAAACCGCTAGGGCATCGATTCCGGCCTTCAACCGCAAGGCCTTTGGCATTGGCTGGCCGCCCGACATGAAGAGGCTATTGCATGCTATTGTTGTCATAGCTTCTGATGCTTGTGATTCGAGGCATCCGCCGTTTCAATGTGTTTCAATCATTGCAAACCCATCAGCTCATCCTTTCGATCCCCTAATGTTTGAGTAGTGACACACCTCTTCATTAACTATGTCGCTCCTATTCCTTGCTTCTCTCCTCTGTGGCTTCTTGTTCAACCCCACTGCATGCTGCTACCCTGCTCTTGATGTGTCGTTCGCGCTCTTGGCTGGATTTGCTCCTGTTATCGGCATCCATTCGCTCGGTACCTCTTCATATCCCTTCAAACATCTTCAAACCATCTGCGGAGAAAGAACACACACCAATTGCATCCAATTGCCAGCATTTCTGCCCCTCACATGACGCGGTCAGATTTTCACTTCATCCTTATGCGTCCAGAGATGATCTTCCACGCTGGCCTGCCGTTTACCAGCCGAGGTCCTAGCGCCATGGATGATGGGAGGCTCCGAGACGTTCCAATAATCCGTTCAGGTCCGTTCAGGGGATGCAGAACTATGGGATGAAGATAGATGATGATGGGTGAAGAACAACTCTAAGCACATTTATCAATATTCATCACACTTAATCATGATATACCATTCATATACCATTGATATACTGATATACCCCAATATACCCTTGATATCATATATATTGTGCTGCATCGCTGGCAGGTTCCCATCGGTTCCCCCATCCTCGGCAAAACTTCGCTGGCAGTTGGGGCATGCAACTTCCTGAGGCCACGCTGGAGGGTTCATGGTGGACATTTGGGGCCTAATGACATCCTAACCCACAATGTTGGTCATCTTCCATATCTTCCATAGCAAATTACATCAAATTACTAATTCCTTTCGGCCCTAGGTTTAATCCATACCCATACCATCTCATACCATCTCATACCATCGCAGTATGGTGCGAAGGCGGTGGCTCAGAGAAACCTGGAGTTCTGATGAGCTCTCATGAGTTCAGTTGGTCGTAGGCACCGTGGATTGGCAGGAGCCATACTGGCTCTGCTAGTGGATGTGGCAACACTGAATTCAAAAAAGCAAACCCTATCTGACAGATCTCTGACAGGTGCAAAACAATGCTAAATCATGATGCTAACGAGCATCCCTTTCACCAGATGATGGTATATGACCATCCAGAGCCAATAGTCCATGGGTATCTTCTGCGATCCGCTCAAGGTGCATCTTGACCTCAACTATTCTGACGATAAAATCAAACATATCAAACTATCTTGACACATCTTGACCATGATGCTTGCAATCCTCCGCGAATTTCATCAGTCTCTTCGAACTGTACAGCTTTGTGACCAGTGACCATGAAACCATCATGGATCAACGATGATTCAATCATCGATCCAGTGGAGATTTTTTTGGATTCAAACTCAGGGCAGCACAAGTTGTGACTTCCGCGCGTTGCGTTTGCGGTACACGGCGAGTAGCTCCCCGCAGCGAGAACATAGCACAGCCACCTTCGCGTAGTTCTCCTCCGGCCCTATGATTTTGGTGGGTGAAAGCTCGTTTCATACCGCATACCCCAACCACAGCTCCGGCAAAGGCCCCGCAATCATTTTTTTATCATGTTATTTTCACTGTTGACACCCAAAACGTTGGAGTTCACTCCCATCCCATCCACGGTCCACTGCGCCACCGCGTCTTGGCGCTGCATAGCGCCGTACTGCGAGTCGCAAACCTCTGTTTGTCACAAGGGTAATGCCTTGCCTCAAAACAACATGAGGCCATAGCATTTCTGAAAGGTTGGCAAGTGATGGTAAGTGCGCGCAGCGATTCTCGCTCCAAGTAGAATCCTCCATGGACAAACCTTGAACGTCGTTCTCGAGGGAATAGATTGTCATACTATATCATATGCTGGTATAGTAAACAAATCAGTGACTGCTTTGTTGCAGTGAGTATGTGGTGCAGCATCGTTTTGACGCCTTGGTGATCCAATATCCGCAGCTTCCCCCCCGATCCGCACCTGATGCCGTTTCTTTGTTCGGAGCATATCTTTGTGCTCGCAGCAGCGATGCTGGTGCCGTCATTCGCTGGACCAAAGGCCAAAGCAGCTGAAAAGGCATCGCTTTGCAAACGGCTGCAACTTTCAAATGAGAGCTTGGTGATGCTTGGTGTGAATTGCATCGAACAAAGTGTCGTTTCACTTTTCATTGGGCCATCCAAAATCCATCTCCCAGTCGCAAATCTGATCTCAAACTTGAGCTAGCTGGGGTCCATCCAATTAGGATAATTAGGAGCGTTAACAACTGGCATCAACTGGCAGTTTGAAAGTATGTGTTTGGGTGATTGGCGGAAATGTGTCCCATTACATTTGCAGGTGCCCATCTGCCTATCTGCTGTGCATTATCTGCAGTCAAACAGCCAACTCAGCATCATGCCACCCACACATCAAACAGAGCAAACCTTTGGACATTTGGATACGTGAGGAAACAAAACTGCTGCAGTTTCCTGCCACCCACAAAAGCCTCCCTCTCCCTCTCCCTTTGGAAAGGCTTTGTGAAATCGTTCCAAGAAGGAAATGAACCACACACAAGCAGGGTTCTCTGCACACCTTTTTGGCATCTCAGCGTTGCACAGCTGGCGCTGACCGCACGCTCTTGGGCATTGAGGCCCTGTACTTCTGGATGACCTGCGAAGGACAAGGCTGGGAGCACTCTTGACACAGTTGCTGTTTGACACCCTAAGGCATTTGGAGCAGTGCAGCCCAAAGAACGTTTGAACATGTTTGAAGAATCTGGGGATCCATGATTCAAGGTCTTGATTCATTAATTATTCTAGTGACCCTTTTCAACGCACATCAACACTCACTGATGCTCAACCATCTTCGTCGGCCTGTGCTTGATTAAATAAATTAAATACTCTATGTAAATTTGGAGACACGCCATGAACGTCGCCCACAACAAATGCGCCCATCCTCATCATGCAAACGCTTACCATGCTCAGCACACCACTGGCGCTTCTCTTCCATGGCCATCCCCTGCAGCAGGTTGCGAAAAACAGGGCCATCACTGCCACTGCCTGCGGACCATGCGGAGCCGGCCTCTGTCTCTAGCGCGGTGACACGCAGTACTGCAGTGGAACCCATGTCCCTGTTTGCAATGACGACCTGAAGTGAGTTGGATGCTGTTGGATACTGAGAACGGGCCGGCCCCTTTGGGTGACGGGAAGGACCCGACATGACCCGACCCTGCTGGATGTTCAGAAACGCTTCACCGCATTCGTTGCAACATCTGAGCGCGTGACCTTTCCAGTAACTTCACAGCGCAAATCTGAGTACTCCTCCAACGAACTTGGAAGCAGCACTTCGCTGGAAGGCTTTCAATGCGGGTGCAGAATGACATCTTTATCACACCGTTGGTCAAACGACTGAAACACATGCAATTACCTTACATAAATATATATATATACATAAATCATCATAAATCACCATAACACCAAACTCCACGAGAATCACGAAACTCACGACCATGGACTATCACAATATCTTGAAAACTAGGAGCAAGCATGTGCTCGTCCTTGACGCAACCGCGAATGCCTCTCCAAGTTTGTGCTTCAAGCAGGCTGCTGTCCAACAAGATTCCAACAGTTAGGCAAGTCTTACAGCTGGTCGCCTCAAACTGAGCAGCTTAGCACTGGCTTTGGTCAAGGACATGTCCAATCTTTTTTATTTTTTTTCTCGCTCTGGTCAGTTTCTCCGAATCGCCAAAACACATTGGGCGAAATGTGATTCTTTGTGCATCTGCATTTCGTCTATCCGTCCCTCAGTGGCACGGACAGCCTATGTCCCTCCATAACTCATTCGGAATCCACGGGAATCCACGGAGCACATGGTCCTGCAATGGCTTGGAAAGTTCTGCCGCCTCCTGGTGCAAGATTTGTGGCATCTCGGCCCTGCTGCATTTCACAACGTGCAGCCGATGCTCGAGCTTCGGGCTGTAGACTCACGACTTTCACGCTCAGCCAGCTTGGCCAAAGCATACAAATGGCCCTGCCCGATGCCCTCACCTAGCAGATTTGGATAGATGCCCTGAAGCTGTATTGCACTAATCTTATGAGGTTCAACGGTCTCCCCAGCTATTCGCCACCCAGGTAGCATTATCCAGGCCAGGGTTGCGGGCGGTGGTTTGTCTTTGCTGTGCCAGTTGATCAATTGTCCCAATGGCACCCAGGTGTAAGCACTGCACTCTGATGCCTGCAACACTACATTTTGCACATTATCTTGCTCGACCAGTGCTTCAACGAAAACGGTGACAGCATGTCCCTTCACTTGGCCCATTTCCAGACAGGAAGCGCTTGAAGTAGGGAACACGCTTTCCCATATGCAAAGCAACTTCAGTGAGTCACTGGAAACCTCTAACCCTGTCTCTTCCTGTAACTCTCTGCGCGCTGCAGCTGTCAAAGTCTCTCCTTCATCAACACCACCTCCAGGGAAGACCCAGCATCGCGGAAAAGTCCTCATATGTTCCCTTCGTTTGGTCAGGAGGACTTTTCCATGGTGGTCTCTCCTCGGTTCGGCTGCACTCTGCCCGGGGAAAAAAACAACATGCACCAAAACATACCAAAACTGTCGGGGGGGCAATCCCAAATGATCCAAAGCAAGTGGACTTTATAGATCTTTATAGGACACCTACCTACGAAAGCTGCTCACTTGAGATAAGCTTCACTAGCACCACCACTGCCAACTTCACAAAGTCCGTTTTTGGAGGCAAGACTGGTGCCGTGCCCTCCTGCACTTGACGTGTGAGATCAGCCACTGGGCAACAAACAGAGAGGCCCCATTGATCCTCTGACCCGGGCAGGGAAGCTGCTGCACGGCCAAAGGGCAGCTGCATATCCTGGGGGAAAAATGATTGGCATGTCCTCTGGACAGAGGGAAGCATCATGAAACATCCAATGAAACATCCAGGGAGCTCTTTACACAATGCAAATCATGGTGAGATATGGTGAGATACTATCTGGTCATTCTATCAACTCATTCAGTTTCCCTATCAGTGTAAGAATATGTTCAGAGGTTGGATATGATTGTCCTCCTTGCTCTCAGGCTTTGAAATATGCAGAACCCCCGAAACTTCTTTCGCAACCACCACCTGAGTCATCTTGGGCGTCTGACGGCTTCTGCTCGCGAGCATTGGCTGTGAGTATATTACATTATGTTACCTACCATCCTTGCAAGATTCACAAGTGAACGGTTCAAGAGGATGTGGAAATGAAACCGGAAGAGTAGTAATTACTCAGCAATGAGACTACATTTTGCATGAAAGAGGCAAGTCTCTTATCTTGACTCTTGAGCGTTTCCAGACTTGAAAACACTTGCAGAGCTCATCAACTGAAGTCGCCAACTCAACACGAGCCTGCTCATCATAGAAGAGACCACGGCAACTGGTCATGCCGACAGCGTCCCAAACGCTTTGTCCAAAGCGTGCTGGTGTGCGTGACACAAAAACTGGGGCACTCCGAGCTTCTGTCATGGCACGGGCCAAAGTTCTCCGCATAAAATGGCTTCCTGTAGTGAAGGACCTAGTGAAAATAGTTCAGTTGTATACTTGTATACCCTCAGAAAAGTGCAACATGCTTCCATTTGCTGCCTGTTCTCCGCAAAATTCTATCTCCATGGCAGCTTAACTTATTAACAGTAGACTTGGAACATTGCGGTGCTGTGTGGCAATGCCTATGTTGTTGTCGAGTTGGCTTCTTGGTTCCAATGGCTGAAGGCCCAAACCATGGGTCATAAAGCCACTACAAGCTCTCAGATGTGCACAAAATTAAAGTGATGACACAACCGACAAACACGCGCACAAATATGTATCTAATCTATACATATACGTATGTAATAAACAAATGATCAAATGCAAATATTGTGCAAGCAATGTGCTCCAGATGCGTTGAACATCGTTGAACATCGTTGAACATCGTTGATCGTTGAACCATATCGCAAGATCTTCGCCAAGACCATGGCCATCCCGAATGACGGCACTGTCTTTTTCTCAGTATTCGAAGGCGATCCAGAAATCCACCGCATAGGTACTGAAATACACCATTATGTACCACATGGACACCTTGCATGGCTGGAGTCGCTGAGAACAAGTTCCCTTCACATCCCTTCACTATCTTCACACCATTGGAAAGAACATCTATAGAAAAAGGTACTAATAGCCACCGGGTTTCCCACTGGAACACAGCTGAACTGCTTCGCATCAATTCTCGAAAGGTGTGAGAATGTCCAGTCAACCCTTGAAGCCTCGAGCTGGGAAACAACGCTGCTCACTATGCTTATCTATGCTTGAAAATCCTGAAAACTAATTGCGAAAGCTTGAAATACAACGTTGCATACTTTTTCAATCTATTTCAGCTCAAGTCCTTGTTCCATAAATCATCATGGATGGAACGAACCCCAAACAAGTTTAGCTGCAAGTTTAATAAAGTACGTGTGATTGATAGGTAGTTTCCTCCGCCAATGAACATTTCCGAACATTTCATTGAAAGTTGGCTGCCCAACTTTGAAGGTACTACTGTTTCTTTTGCAGCATAGTGATCAGCCAAGGTGCCGAAAGACTGGCACAGTCAGGAAAGCATTGGGCAAAACCAATGGCGCACCTTTAGATGCTTCCCGTGCATCGTTGAAAGCGGCCCACATGGGAACCAGGGAATTTAATTTGCATATTGTGTGTATTTATATGTGCGTGTATGAAAAACGATTTAAAAAGTACGTAACACAATATCAACAGTGGACAAGAGTGATGCATCACGGCATTTGAATTGGCAACGCAGGCGTGTCTTTGGCAATCCGAGTCAGTCCCGGAGTCCCAGGTACACATGATGAATAGTCTCCGCACTGCAATGATCACACTAAAGATTGTAGACCTCAAACCCAAAGCACACAGAAGAAGCAACGCACATCGATCACCGAAAATGGATGACATGGTGCATCAAGTTGATTGGTCCGGACAGACTTGGAACTTCACATATGACATATATCACATATATGTCGTGTCTACATGTGGCACCTCTCCCTAGGTTATGGCTCTGGCTATTGCTGCCTCATTCTCATCAGCCAAGGAGCTGTGCCAAAGAGCTGTGGGAGAACTCCGGTGAGATCTGCCAAAAGAGCTTGGCATGCCACGCTGAACCTTAAAAGTCTACCCGCATGAAAGAGAATACTGTGACCGCCAGCCGAACCTGCCAATCTCTAGCTCTAGCCCTAGCCCAACCAGTCTGGCAACTATTGGACATTTTATGGATTTTGGAATCCAACGGCCAACGCAACCCAACTTTCCTTAAAACGTGACTCACCGCCCCGTGTCTGTTTCAGAACAAGCGTCCAACAAAGAATGATACGACTCCCAGAGAACGCAGCAATCCAGAAACACTTGATGGGCCTCAGTCATGTATCCGATCAATTCTTGGGTTCTGGGGCATTCTGAGTTGCAAGGAGATCCAATATTGCCGAAGGGGCATTGAACATGCAAAATACTTCAAAATCCAGTCTGCGAGAGGCCTTGTGCCCTTACATTGTGCAAAGGCAACAAGCCAGAGTCGCTTTGAATACTTAGCTATTTATAACAGCTATAGTAAGTACAGCTATAGTATTCTTCGATCAATTTGATGGGGGATTGGCTGATCCCCATGATCATTTCACACCAATTCTCCCAGATGCAAAAGGCGGCTTCAAGTCGAGCCACTGGAGCTGTAAGTGAACAAGCTTTGAAAAGTCAGGCCCAAGGCGGCAATATATCCGGCTTCTGAACACATCATTGCCGCATCAAATTGCAACGATTCCGTGAAAACCTCAAGACTGCCAGGTGCAGTTGAAACTCGCACTGGGCCTTATTACTGTTTCATACTGTTTCAAAGATCTTCAAAGAGCCTAGAGGAAAGCACTGGACTGGACCAGTGAGGAGATGTGCCGAATTCTGCCGAGCAACTGGCTTCAAAATCAAGTTTTGGTGAATGCGAACTATACAGGTCAACAGCAAAGCACAAATTGCCGAGCCAAGACGAAGCAATCCTTGCGATGGAGGTGCCCGGCCAAGGTCCCAGAGTCCCGGAGGCTGATAGGAAATCAACGGATGGTAAAGCCATCGTGCTCCCATCAGCGTCCCAAATGTCCATGCCAAGAGAAGAAGAGGCACCTTGCCACGACTTCTACTTCCACCATGTCCAAATAGCAACACAAAACAGCCAACTAAGACAAAAAAATCACGAAACAGAAGAAAAATCTGCAAAGATGTGCAAAGACTATGGGAAAACTTCCACCAAGGCTCTGTTGACGTCGTTAACTGTCGAGTCCCTCCAGATCGGGCAAGTTCTAAGAAGAGCTGCGCCGTGACCACCACCGCTGCCGCCACACTTCGGCGGAACGATTCTGGCACCTCATCTGCAGCTGGCCACAGGTTCTCCGAGCGAATCGCCACAGTTCGGCCTCTGCCCGTCTCAACCAGCCATCGGCCCGTCTCAGTCAAGCGCAACAGGGATCCCAGCTCTCCATTCAAGCCACCCTTTGTATCCTTCGTTAAGCCCGAGATACGTGCCAAAACACCAGGGCAAAAAGCGCCAGGCTTTGCCATTTCTTGTTCCTTCTGAATCTTCTGAGCCAAAGCCATTCGATCATTCAGACATTTTGACAGGGCACCTGACGCTATGTGAGTATAAAACCTTGGAGCCTCAGGCTAACAAGGCATGTTGAGTCCAGCGTACAGTAACTTTTATTGAGAAACCACTCAACACTTTAGAGCAATGGGAATCGCAATGAGATGATATTGTCCGAAGAGTCACCTCCTACCTGTTTCTGCCTTACGGGTACCATACCTCACAATTTCACAATGAAGACTTACATCTATACTTCCATCTATACTTCCATCTGTTTGCCGCAAACGATCTATTGGCTTCGCCTTCTCCAAAATTGTGCATGAACATTTCTTGTGCATTTTTACATGTAAACGATTGTAAAAGTACCCCAAAACACGGTCCAGACATTCTTGGAAAGCTTCCAAGGCCATTCACAGCATGCCACAGCGCGCGCCTGTGCCATTCGCCATGGCATTCTGATAGCTGACACCCAGGGCTTCCGCATCCATGATGGCCTTGGTACATCTGGGCTGTGGGGAGAGCACCGCCCGAGGCGAGGCAGCCTCCAGAAACACTAAAGCTCTAATGAACAAAGCAAACCAACCAACAAGAAGGCTGCAGAAAATGGATGAAAATGGATGAACATGGATGAAAATGGATGAAAATGGGATGTTTGATCAGTGCACTGCAACAGTTCTGAAAGTATCCACCATCGCGTCTGAGGGATCTAGCTAGACTAGCCTACAATGAGCCGATTCACCTGTCAGTGTACTTGCTCTCTGTTTCCCCAAGAGACTTAGTCTACATCTTCGTGCCAAGCAATGAGCAATGGCTTGCTTAACAAGATGATCTTCACATGGCATTTTAGACAAAAAAAACAAAGTTTTGTCCAGGGCGCCTGGGTTGCTCCCTGACTGCCGTATGGCAATAAAGGATGTGCAGCATCACCCAACAAGGTCACGTTGCCAAAATCGAAAGACTTCAATGGATCACGGTCGAATAAGCTCCATCCGATGATTTTCTCGGTCCTCTCCTCGGAATGAGCGAAAGTGGCTAGAGGTAGATTGTGACGCAGCAGCAATAATTCTTGAGGTAGTCATAGCAGTGGATAAAACCGAGCATGTAGATATGTCGATTAACAACATTACTTCCCACTCGCTGCCTTGCCTGCTTAGCTCAAGAGAAAATGTTGATCTGCATTCTGAACATGTCTTCAGATTCTCCAGGGACTGAATCTTTTGACCAAGCCGCTGCCATTTGAAGAGGCGTGAGACCTGGCTGTTCCGAACGCGGTGCAAGGCTGGCATGTCTGCGCACATCATGAACAAAATGATCAAGACCGAAGCAAATGGATCGGAATATTGGAATAGAATGGAATAGTTATCTTAGTTGTGTTCTGCTGGTTATGACATGTTATGACATGTTCTGAATAAACAACATATTTAGATCCCATGGTTTAATGACATCGATGACATGTTCAGCAAAAGTCATCAAGCATTTGGACTCCGATTTCCCTCGCAATCTCAGACTGAGCACCTGCAAAGCTGTTGCCGCCGAAGTTCTGCAGCTCCTGCAAAACCCATCGAACATGGGCCCTTCGGCCCTTCTGAAACCTCGGGATGGGAACAACTCCAAATCCAACAGAAACTAAAAATAACTAAAAAGGATACTAAAGGAACTGATCCATCTTGCCACGTGTGTATGCATGCACATTATGAATCATATACACTGAGATAATGTATATATTATATCTGTATTCATTCTGTATTCTATCATGTTCAATGCATATTAACAACATTTTTAAGTATTCATGTTCTGTGCTCTTGTAATCTGCAAAGCATTTGAACCTCCATGACCCAGCGGCTCCTGACGGATCTCCTGGTGACAGCCAATCAAATCTGTAATCTACCCACCAAATCCCACCACTTTGCCACTGGCAACATCAGCCTTCCATACTCAAGCTTAAATTCTTTGACATTCCATGAGTCAGCGAAGTCTCGACACCAGAGGTTTGACCGGTTTGACCGGTTTGACCGGTTTGACCGGTTTGACCGGTTTGACCGGTTTGACCTTTGGAAAAGAGCAGGCGGCCCATGGCGGGCCTCCAGGCCAGCTTCCGAAGTCCAATTCTCTTCGCCGCCTGGATGCTCCCTGGCGCAGTGAACGCCACTGCAACTGAAGTCGTCGAAAGTCATTGTGCATGAGATTCGAAGTCACAACAGCCGCCTCAAAACGCAAAGGCCCCAGTTGCACAGGAAACGCTTCTCTTGCCGAAGCCTTTCACCTTGGAGAAAAAACCTTCCAGCAATACGTCAGCCAACCGAACTGCACGATAATTCTAGCATGTCCATTTCTCTACCCACATGGAAGTATCAAACTTTCCTCACAAATCTGGCAAGCAATCTTGCAAACAAAATGGCTGATAGGGTAGCAAATAAAGTTGCCAGTTGCGTCGCCACAAAGGGAGACGGTACATCCTTGGACTGGCTCTGGGCAGTCTAACAAAGTGAAACAATGACAATCTTTTTGATTTCCTGGCATCAGCAGTAGCTTCATACCTTCTCAACATAGCTGTCTAGGGACGGAGCTATTCTCGACCAAGATTCCATCCGCATGTATGTCATCCACCTCGCAGGTCGGAGGGCGAGGCATTTGCATGTTTCCGCAGAACAGCGTTAGCAAGCTCTCTATTCTGTCCATAATTCATTTTGTGGGGCAGTCAGCAGGAGGACTGAGTCTAGGCATGTGAAGATTGTGACCGCAACCGCAACACAGTTTTGAGATGCTCTGAGTGCTTGAAGCAAGGCTTGGAGTATCTACAACTTGCAAGATATGCCTTGTCCCAAACATCCTCATCATTTTGGTCGTCCCCATGCCCAGCAACCTCGCACAGGCCGCGGAAGATCATACGTCCTGTGTACCTGGCAACGGTTCAACGTGAGTGTATGTTAGTCAAATCCACGAACGTTCCCTGAAATGAGGCAAAAAAGTACGAATCGATCGAGAACTTTTTTTTTTCTGCAACACCTTTTTCACCGCCATTGGTCACATGGTCAGATCCCCTGTCTTAGAGGGAGGCGGCTGGGGTGGGGGGGCGTCGTCTCCTCGCGCTTCGACGAGGAGATCGAAAAACGGGGGAGGGTTGAAAGCCCATGGGCAACAGACTCTACATGCAAAATCAGGTGCATGAGTAGGAAATGTGTTGTGCGAAAGTTGGAAACACACTCCTCAATTGCCCTTCTTGAATCTTCTTGACATGACACATGAATCTCATAGTTGTTTTTTTTGCTCCAAACGGGGCTCTGGCATCGGAGAATTTTCCCGGCCGACATGTCACACAAAAGATTTGTGCTGGAGCTTTGCCAGCCGGACTAGCATCTTTGGCCCGTCCGAAGCATGGTGCATTTCAACACCCACGCCGTCGATGTACAGTATCAGAACCTGTTTGTTCTTGGCGCCTACTTGCAAGAATGGAGGTTCCTAGAAAACGGCCCCAGTTCAATCAATTTGCCATGCTTGGTGCTACATGGTATCCCGACCACCACTCTCGCCCCACAACTGCCACACAGGCAGAGGCTTGCCGAGTCGGATGGTCAAAGGCAACAGTTGCACGTATCTGAGTCTGTGATAGTCTGTGATAGTCTGTGTATCGTATATTTAACATTATTTAACCGATGTCGTTTTTGAAAACACATTGTCATAATATGTTTGATATATGTTTAATTATGTATTTTTATATATACGTATATATATATTTAGTGTGCTGTCAAACCTGATGGTCATGATAACCTCAGGCCAGCTCAGTTGGGGCACCTTTGACAGGTATAGTTGAAGTTCTCAAAGTCAGCCGCATATTTCGCCCGGATCATTTTCAAGGTGTTTGGCCACAAATTGCTGCTGTTGAACTTCTGGCCCTTTGCCTGCAGTGGACATCAGCCCAATAGACAGGGAGAATCTGCCAACTGTGCAGCCATTGGGTGGTGAAATGTGCGATTTAAGAGACCTCTAAACATCACCCAACCATTGGAAGATATCATCTCAAAAAACCATCGGTGCAGCCCAGGTTGCCACATTCTTTCGCGGCATACCATTGAAGCTGATGCCATATGCCCGCAATAGCCTGGTTGAGCCATCATGCGAGAGCAAAGACGACCATGGCAAAGGAGAACCATGGCATAAGGATGCATAAGGTATCTTAAGTGTATCTTACAGAACCATCTTACAGTACCATCTACCCTCTGGTCATTTAACAGTTTGCTATTGAAAATGGTGATTTATAGTGAGTTTTCCCATTGAGAATGGTGGATCTTTCCATTCTTATAAGGTATCCCAAGGTATCCCAAGAGATCCCTTGAGGCATGAGAAAACTGGGTGATTTCTGGCGGATCCATACGGCTCCGGCCTCACGAGGTCCAGGCCCAAGGTCTCAAAGTGCAACACGTGTTGCACACTGCTGGGGTCCAGGTAATCCTTAAGCAGAAACAGTTCTGAAACAGCAAAGGAAACAGGATCAGCAAAGGAACCATCCCAGATATCATGCCAGATATCCATAGATATCCCCAGATTCAGATGATTTCAGATGATTCTGTCTAAAATTCATTTGTCTGAGTATATTGTCTGTGCAAGTCTGTAAACGCCTGCAGGCATGGGTACGCACCTGCATGAGCATTTGCACCGCCGTGTGCGTGGACATGGATCCGCTTGCATGCGCACGGGGATACATCTCTCTCATCCGGCATATCCACATGAAATTGACTATAATTTTGGATGGATGGATGGATGTTCTGTGCTGGAACAAAGTGCATATAGATACAGTTTTCCTTGAATCCTTCTCTGCGCATATGATGCATTTGCACGCTGACAACACATGACAACGCACAAACAAATGCGAAGGCAAGGACTCAAAACAAAATGGGTCCGCACACAATTGTGCTTATCTTTCTTTCGCTCCTCTTTCATCACAAGCGCACAGTGTCACAGGGGTGCGAATTCTACTTGACTTAAGTCTGAGCTCAAAGGGCGTGGAGCAACAACTTCTAGCGCACATTGGGAGTGAGCGGCAACACACATGCAAAGATCAAAACCCAGGGCGGTATTTCGTTCTGGATGTAAGCTAGATCTATCTCAAGGTGCATGATGCACGCTCCCTCCAATTTAGGGCATTGCTGGCAGGCTTCAGACATGGCTTGGAAACTGCCAGGGTGTATCCATCTGCTGCCATCTAGAGAGCTTTGCCTCATCTCGCACTTTCGACAAAACATGTTGCAACATGCTACTACCTTCGGCAGGAGGCCAAAAATGTGGTTGCATCCGACCTTCCACTTTCAGAACAGTTTGACATAGTTTGACACTTCTGCTCTGCATGTCTGACAGCCAGGGCTTCTACAGCAGTTCGACAAACATCGACAAACAATGTCCTCATATTGCTTCCAAAGCTGCACGAACTTGTTGAATGCATCCTCAAGATAGACTGGCGCCAGAAAATCGATGAACAATGATGAACATGTTTGCCCGCACTATCATACGATTGCCACCAATTGGAGGAAAAATCCAAAAAGAAAGGAATGCTAAGCCATTGAAGAGCTGCTTCGGTGTCCGTTTTTGGAGTCTTTGTGCCAGTGAACGGGCAGTAGTATTCTGAGACGATGCGTTCCACAGGGTCCCGCACAACCAGAAACCAATCATAGCCTGGAGACTTGGGTGAAGCCTGTTGTCACAGCAGCTACCCAGGTATTGCTTTGGCGATTTGTGCCAAGACAAAGGTCATCACCATTCAAAAAAACATTCAAAATGTCGAAAGCAAACTAGAATCTGGAACGGGGAACCTTGCACTGATACAATCGGATTTGGAATGTCTACCCTTGTTTCCCGCTGACCTTCACAGAAGCACCCACAAGCGAATACATCGAAAAACACATGTACCTCTTGCGACCTGCATACGACTTGCCAAGGTGTTTGGCCAAGCATCGATGTCGTAAACTTGAAGGAAGCTTTGGAAAGGGATGATGCCAGGGGCTGCCAGGTAGACCACGCGCTCCATACTCAGAGTGGAATCGTCCCCAGCGCAAGCCTAAGACACTGGACATCACTGGACCAATGCAGTGGAAACATCCGACGTCAACCCATCTCCAACATTTTCCAAGCCTTGTCCAACATGTCACACGCACGAAATGCATGAAGTTGAGTGAGATTGCATGATGGCAAACCATGGCAAACCGTGTTATTACACCTCGGCAAACCCATTTGCCATTTGCTGTGCATGCCAGGAGGCCGCGGCCTTTGGCCCAATCTTCGATTGCAGTGCCTCCAGTCTTGGTAATGTGGATGAATTTAAGTTCCTCAGTGTGCTGGGCTCTGATAGGATTTTGTAACGTACTATTATTATATAATTATATAAGTGTTGAAATCATTGAATGTGCAGCGGACAAAGGAGTCTTAGTTGCAACGATGCCCAAAAGTTGCCATCAAAACTAAAGACATATGTAAGGGTACCCAGCTTTTACTTTGCGAGCAGTTATTTGCCTAAAAATACTGATAGCCTGGGTTGCAGTTGGAGCCGGTACCTCCAAATAAAGGTGAACATGGTAACCATATGTCTAAATAAAAGCAAGAACTGGCGGGCATGTGCAAAATGGACAGAGTTGTTTTGTTTGAGGATGTTTGAGGTACCAAGACAACAGTCCACAACAGCAACAGCCTATTACCTAAAAGGTCCATTGAAAAATGATAGACAACACCTCATTTAACATTGCGGTGGAGACTTAAGACCTCAAGAATTATCTCTTTTGTGCCAACGGGTGATCTAATTCTTTCGACCGAGGAAGTTCCAAGACGGATTTAATCATCTACTGTAAGATTTGGATACATTTAGTTGCTCTATGTCGCTCTAGAATTCTAAAGAATGCTTTGGCAAGAGAGCACAAAGTACCGCACTGGTCTGCAACACCCAGAACATGTTTTTTTTTGTTTAAAGCATTTCAAAATATTGCTCCCATTTCCTGGACCACCGAGAAACCTTCCGAGTTTGTCCCAAACGCAGTGATGGTACGAATGGTAACGACATCCTTGGCACTGTGGTTCCCTCGGTGCCCTCAGTGGTTCCGTCTGTGATCTGTGTGGTCGCAATCATAGAGGTTGTTGCAAGCATCGTGGGTGAGGTTGGTGTGCCAGTGGTTGGCAGCTCCGCAACCACTGTGACCCCTTCCTGCCCAGTCTCATTGGTGATATTGGTGTCCAGAGTCTCGTTCGGCGGCGATCTTCGCAATGCCAGTTGGACTTGCCGCCTATCAATCCAAAGCTGTGGACCAGGTACTGTGCAAACCTTGGCAAACTGTTCCAACTGATTCATGCTGAAAGTGGTTGGGAGATGTCGGGAGATCATGGCCAATCAAAACAAAAACCACCTGCGACTGAGAACGTTGAGCTTTTAATCTATCAGAATACATCAGAATCTATCAAAACAGAAACCGCCCACAAATGATGCTTTTTGAAAATTGTTACGAGACTTGATGGCAAAGAACCAGCAGCACCATTGCCACAGTGGCTGGAACCAGCACTTTCCAACCAGCCATGGCAGTGCGCGCCCAAGATCCAACAGGATTGAGAGGCTGATCATAAGTGATTCCTTCAGTGTTCCCTGACTGGGAGTATCCTCTGGTAAACTAATATAACTATGGAAAATCACAATTTTCAATGGGTAAATCCACTATAGGTCATTTTTAATATATAGTTATGTTAAATTACCAGAGGGTATCCCCTTCAAACGTTTATCGCATGTCATCCGCTGTGCTCTGAACCAATTTTGTCCTGTACGTCTCAGAAGAATTGCCAGTGATTGCGCTTGAGCTGAATATTGGCATGACACCAAATACCATGAATCAGTAACAGGAGTATATAATTGTAGTAAATTGATCACTTCGTATTGCCCGAAATAAAATCATATCACGCGCCGATGCGATGTGATTCAATGATTGATGGGATATTTCCTGACTAGGACAGGCCCGGGCTTGAAATGAACATGCTTTTTGGGCATCCCTGAAATTCAAGCTGGTGGTAGCTGACATCCTGACAGTTCTTTGTCAGTATATGTCACTATGAATTTGTATAAATTTGTTTTATCATACAGTTGATTCCAGTTGATTCACTATCATACTTTATCCCCTCGTTGGTCGTTCATGAGGCATTTTCAGTCAGACCAGGTGACACTGGCAGCAGGACTTCATTCTCAATCACTAAGAAGATAGCTTAGGCGTATGACCGTAGGAGAACTCCTGCCTCTTACCTGCCCCTTACCCAGTCGTAGGGCCATAAGGACGTACTCCATGCAGAATTGCATGTTGGGCCAGTATTACTCAGTAGATTCGGCTCCTCCAGGAGTTACCAAGTCATCATTAGACGACAACCTTTTGTTGAAATCTTGATCGATTTAGACCCCAGACTGCAGAAATCACCAGAGTGACTGCAATTCCACAATGCATTGCAATGCCAAATAATGATTGACATTGAACGTATGCTCTTGGCATAGACTATGCGTCTTTCGTGGGAATCATTCGCACAGAAGATACATGTATACCAGTTCCGGATTCACCAGGCCTTGAATTCCAATCATTGGGACTTGGGATCCAAGAAAAATCAGACTAGGTATATACGAAGTGCTGCTACTAGATCTGTTATGATCTGTTCAAGATTTCCCTGAAGATGGGAGAAACATATGTAAAAATATGTAAAAATAGGATCCCCATCCATAATTTGTTTGGGTTTCTCCCACTCAATTGATGAATTCCATGGCGGCCATGGCCTTGGATCTCCATCGCCCAACAAGGCGCCACGGAGGCGGCTCTTAAGGCCATCAGCGCCCACGACGAAGTGGCACGTGACCTCAAAAGGATCATGGTCCCTCCGTTTTTTTCGTGATTTGGGTGTGTCTGAAAATAGGGAAAACCCCTAAACCCAATGGTTTTGCTGATCATGATCCCTATTAAATGGCTATTAAACTATGGGAATATACCCAACATTTTCAGACAAACCCATTTTCTCATGTTCTTCCTATATTTTAGTGAACTTCCAGGCTTTTACATGCTTTTACCGGAAGACATGGGACGATGTTGGATGGATGTTGGATGAGCTTTTGAATCAAAGTTTTGAAGATCTTTAGGGCTCCTTTCCTCCCACAACCAAATCGAGGGGAGGATAGGGCTGGCACACATCCAACTGTTGGCACTCACTGCCACTAGGCGTGTCCTATCGTGTCCTCTATTCCGCCCAAAGACTGCAGCTGAAGTGCTGGTGCCATCGGATTTTTCGTGGTGCTGTTCTCGAAGTGCAGAACCACATGGTCCTCTGGGACAGGAAATACAAACGCTGGCATCCTCACCTTGTTCGGCACCAAGTGAATCAAGTGATAGATCTGAGGTCTGAGGCCCTCTGAGGCTTGCTGCCTCAAAATTCTTGAGTATCTTGAGTTATCTTAGATTGACATAGATTGACTACCATGCCTAGTCCTATAGTTGCGGGAACACCTATTATATATCCGCTAATATCCGCTAAACCTCTTGATATCTCTTGATAGGGCTTCCAATCAGCACCGGCCTCATGCCTCTCCAGCTGCACAAAGCGACTGTTGAGGATCACTTTGTCCTGTCCCACCGAGATGCCCAAACAAAGATGACAAAGCAGTTACAATTGATTCACTGGTCTGTGCATGTCTCTGCCACGGTTTTCTGGACACTGAGCATCTAACCAGCCTCACCCAGCAGTCGACAGCACTCGGCCACCAAGGTGCTGTGGAACTTTGCCTCGGACTGTTTCGATGCAGTACATGGGAAATGTAAATCGGGTGTGCACTCGAAGTGAAAGAGTTGAGTCATCGCAGTTTGCGTTAAGTTGATTCACCATGATTCACCCACGCGAGGCCGTGAACCAACACCTATGGTGACACGACACGGACACAATCATCTGATGTGTCATCCAAAGAGCAAAAATGTCTGTACACACCCTGCAGGCGAGCTACTCGATGTGCTGACAGTTGTGGGTGAGCCGAGCCTGCCTTCAGCCTGTGACAAAGAAGCAGCAGAAACCCAACATCTGCTTTTAAATTTCTAGCTACTCCGTGTGTTGACTCAGAATTTGAATACACCAGGAATTCAATCAAAGGCCAGTGAGGGAAGGAAGGCTTCATTTGCTGATTAATTTCAGTAACGAAGCATTTCTGGCACATCGTTGAGGACATGTGTGTGCGCACTATCACTAGGAGAGTAGAGAAAACTCAACAAAGATCCATTGCCATCCATTGAACTTCATTTTAAGCATTGAACCAAGCAGCCCCACAGCTTCTGATGCGATGAAGAAGCCCTCTGGCGTAAAATACTCCACTGCACTGGTGAAAATGGCATCGCCTCTCGACAGCACAGTGCAGGTGGCACTTTCGACAGCACCGGCTGAAAAAAGTTTGTGAATAGCCAAGCCTTGACCCTCATGGAAGCTCTCCAGGGGAATTCCCAGGTCTGTCAGGACGCCTCAGAAGCATTGCATACATAAATATATATATATATATAATTATATATATATATATTCATTTATTCGATCATGTATCTCAATGTATCTCAGCAAGTGGGTCAAGATGTTGAGGCAGCATGCACATGGAGGCAGGATTTAGAACAGAATGGCTGGAAACGGCTAGAAAAAGGCTGGTTTCCTTCCCTGACAAAAATCCTGAGAGTATCCTTCAGCAGAGCCTTCCTGTCATTGAAAACCCTGCATGCGCACGGACTGGCATACACACACACACACACTAATACAGTTTGCATATGGTTGCATGCCATGCCGCCAATTGTAGCCACTTTGCAGCAAAGGCACCCACAGCGACCGCCTGGATATTGATCCCTGCGCCAATCTCTTTCAACGTGGGGGCAGCCTTCCAAGTTGCAACACAACTGGTGTTCAAATGGCGGTCAAACCCTGGTACCCATAGGTACTCTATAATAGCTGGTTACCCTCTGGTAATTTAACATAACTATGGAAAATCACCATTTTTAATGGGTAAATCCACTATAAATGGCCATTTTCAATAGCTATGTTAAATTACCAGAGGGTAATGGATGTCTATTCCCCCCAAATATGGTAATGAATGGTAATGATAGATTTTGAGCCATCCCCAAATCTGTGACATCTGACGATATCTGGCCTCATAGACCGTGACATCTGCGCCAGCACGGTGGAGCCTTTCCAGCAAGCTGGTCTCATCTGGTCTCATATGTTCATCCCTCATCTCTCCAGCGTCTCTTCAGGGTTCAAGATAAGAAAGAACTCCACATCCAAATCATCCGATCAGAAACTATCAGAAACGTATAACGCAGAGTTGTAGCACATTGTAGCGCTGAGACAAGCGGCGCAATCGCTGCAGCGCAACCACCAATGCCTGGCGTTGAAGTGGACTAGCAGTGACTAACTCAGTCACTGCTAAATCGGCTTGCGAGCGCATGGCAAAATCAGGCCTCCACCCACGATCACTGTTTTCAGCGCCATGCTGCATATGCTGGCACACTTGTCATGATGTGCTAAGATTGAACTTCTATATGTGCGAAGGCCGGGAGATCTTCTTGTTGCAGAAATCTTTCATTTGTATTTGTATCAGACAAAATGGTTTCCTTTGTTTGAGGGCGATGGGAGAAAAGAGGTTTTCAATGCTCGAAAGCTTTTTGTTTTTTTCTGCCAGTCCGTAGTCCGTGCAACCTGCTGTTTAATTACGAAACTCATTTCAGATCCATCATTGGCCACATGAGCGAAATTCATTGATTCTGCTCCGTTTTTTTTGTCAGGAGTACTCTGGGTTCTCCATGGTTCTCTCTTTCAAAATGTCCGCGGAACCAACTCAAAACGGCTGAGGGATTGAACATGATTGAACTGAGGGAACGAATGGCTCCTTCACTGTAAAAGCCAACGAATTCGTAGCAAGGCTTTTGCAGTAGCCTAATTCAATTTCTTTGCCGGGAGGCGATGTGTTAATCAACCATAATCAACCCGGTATGATGAACTACCGAGATAAAAATTATACGTGCTGGTCATATTTGGTACATTTGCATACTACATACCCATACCTATCTATGCGTGTACATACAGATGTATGTATAAATATATATATATATGTGTGTGTATATGTGATAGCCCGTGGTACCGCTCAAAAGGGTCTAGTCCTGGAAAAAAATGCCTTAAATCGTTTGGTCCACAACCTTTTGGAATTGATTTCCAAAGGGTAAAACCCAACAGATTTAAGCCAACAACCAAGTTGCAATTTCCCGGGCAAACAAACTTGAGAGGGGGGGGACGAAAGGTAGGGGGGAAAAGACAGGAGGGAGAGGCAAGAGAAGGTGCGACTGTTTGTAACGCAAGCACGCCGACGACGACGACGACTACTACTACTACTACGACTACTACTACTATGACGACTACTAGTACTAGTACTAGTACTAGTACTACTACTACTACTAGTACTAGTACTAGTACTAGTACTACTACTACTACTACTACTAGTACTAGTACTAGTACTAGTACTAGTACTACTACTACTACTACTAGTACTACTACTAGTACTACTACTACTAGTACTACTACTAGTACTACTACTAATACTAGTACTACTAGTACTACTACTAGTACTACTACTAGTACTAGTACTACTACTACTACTATTACTACTACTACTACTACTATGAGGACTACTACTACGACGACGACGACTACTACTACTACTACGACGACGACTACTTCTACTACTACGACTACTACTACTATGACGACGACGACGACGACTACTACTACTACTACCACTACTACTACTACTACTACTACTACTACTACGGCTACTACTATTACGACGACGACTGCTACTACTACTACTGCTACTACTACTACTACTACTATTACTATTCCTTCTACTACTACGACTGCTACTACTACTACTACTACCACTACCACTACCACTACCACTCCTACTGCTACTGCTGCTACTACTACTACTACTACGCCCAGGCCCGTTACACTTTACATTCAATTGGGAAGATCAACAAGGGTATTAGGCATTAGGGAATATTAAACTCCCACCCCTGTTAAACTTTACATTGAATTGGGAAGATCAACAAGGGTATTAAGGAATATTAAACTCCCACCCCCGTTAAACTTTGCATTCAATTGGGAAGATCAACAAGGGTATTAGGGAATATTAAACTCCCACCCCGGTTAAACTTTACATTCAATTGCGAAGATCAACAAGCGGATTCATGACTTCGTGGAAATTGCGTTGAAGAGTTTGCCGATTTCTAACGTTAGATGTATAAGGTAGGCATTTTGGACAAGAATCGGTTGGAAAGAAACTTTTGGAGTTTGAAAAGCTCACCCAAGCAGCTGGAATGTTTGTGTGCTTGTTGTTGGTGAATCGTTATTCTTGTAGGTATACCGTGTTGTCAGCACGCGGACTCGTTGGACGGGCCTCCAGGGAGTCGACTGAGCTAGTTGTTGACGCTGTGGAGGCGCTTCCGCCACGACTACATAAAGTATCGTTTTTTGTTCTGTACAATGACGTTCCGAACTCCGAATACGTGGACCCGGTGGAGGGGCCTCCAAAGGGTCAACCAAGTGAGGGGTTGACTCTGTGGAGGCTCTCCCACCGGGTCCACAGAAACTATTGTTTTTGGTTAGTTGTTGCCTTTGTGATTTCTAGCAAGTTTACATAAAGTCCAACCGGGTCCACAGAAACTAATGTTTTTGGTTAGTTGTTGACCTTGTGATTTCTACCAAGTATACATAAAATATCGTTTTTTGTTCTGTACAATTACGTTCCGAACTCCGAATAGGTGGGCCCGGTGGAGGGGCCTCCAGAGGGTCAACCAAGTGAGGGGTTGACTCTATGGAGGCTCTCCCACCGGGTCCACAGAAACTATTGTTTTTGGTTAGTTGTTGACTTCTTGTGATTTCTAGCAAGTTTACATAAAGTCCAACCGGGTCCACAGAAACTAATGTTTTTGGTTAGTTGTTGACCTTGTGATTTCTACTAAGTATACATAAAGTATCGTTTTTTGTTCTGTACAAGTACGTTCCGAACTCCGAATACGTGGGCCCGGTGGAGGGGCCTCCAGAGGGTCAACCAAGTTAGGGGTTGACTCTGTGGAGGTTCTCCCACTAACAAGGGTATTAGGGAATATTAAACTCCCACCCCGGTTAAACTTTACATTGAATTGGGAAGATCAACGAGCGTATTAGGGAATATTAAACTCCCACCCCCGTTAAACTTTGCATTCAATTGGGAAGATCAACAAATGTATTAGGGTATATTAAACTCCCACCCCCGTTAAACTTTACATTCAATTGCGAAGATCAACAAGGGTATTAGGGAATATTAAACTCCCATCCCCGTTAAACTTTGCATTCAATTGGGAAGATCAACAAGGGTATTAGGGAATAGTAAACTCCCACCCCCGTTAAACTTTACAGTCAATTGGGATGTTGATGATGTTGATGATGTTGATGTTGTTGCTGATGATGCTGATGATGATGATGATGTTGATGAAATGAGGGAAAAAATCGTCATCCGTTTGCCCAAACGAACGACACGGGGAATCTCACAAAACATTGGCCCTGCGCAGTCAAAACACACTTTCCCGGGCAGCACATCCGTCCTGGCCGTAGTACTACTACTACTACTACTTCTACTACTACTACTACTACGACTACTACTACTACGACGACGACTACGACTACGACTACTACTACTATCATTCGTATGGCACCTATCTCACTAGAATTTACCAAAGAACAGAAAACATCATTTTTTCGGGGGTGCGCTTCATCTCGCCTCGATGAAGCACAACCAAGTGCTTGGGAGCACAACCAAAGTCATTTATCGCACAAACATGAGCTTGGTTGCGCCCCCAAACGCTGGGTTGCGCTTCATCTCGCC